GTTTTCTCTTCAATATCCCCCCCCAAACAACCAAAAAAAAAAAAAAAGGGAAAACAAAAAAAGAAAAGAAAAGGGGGGGGTGGGAGAGGAGGGGGGGAGGGGGGGGGGGGGGGGGGGGGGGGGGGGTGGATACATCTGCGTGTAGACCTTATCCGCATTTCTGGTTTGCTTTTCATTTAGACAAGCAGCCCATCCGACACCCAAAACACGAGACGATGCGCCCTATCAACAGATTGCAAAGCAGTCACGTAGCCATATACATACATAGTACATTTATGTACATCAATTCGTATATGTGTGGAGGTGTATGATCAATCATTTCGATCTTATTTACCTGTAAAATTCGGACAGATCGTGCTTGGGTGGTCATTATCAAAAATCCACGCAATTCGCACTGCATGGCCGGGCAGACTCACGTAGGGGGTGGGCTCAGAAGAAGAGAACGAAACCAATCAGTGCAATCACGGCCGTGCCGCCGCCTCTGATGGCTATATAGCTTGTAAGTGTGTATGTATGTGTATGCACAAGTACAAATCTACATATACCTGTGGTGTCTATTTTGTATATAGACGAAACGATTTGATCATACACAAGCGAAACAATTTCTATTAAAAGTTAAACAGCAAAACTGATCGACACGAAATGGGGGGAGCACTTTCTTTGAATCGGATATCGAACACCAAAGTGGCAGTGGATGGATGGTAGTTATCCCAAACAACAACAAAGCTGATGGTGATAATGATAATTGGTGCTACCAATTTTGTATATACAAATATGCATTCGAACATATGTATGTAAGAATCTACTGTATATACTGTACATGTGGACTATATACATTTATTTTTGGAATATTACGTGAACGTAAGTAAACCAAGCCGAAACGCTACAAAGCTACGGAAGAGTAAACCCCCCAAACGCTTTGTGTCGATTCTCTTCTTTTCCTCTCTGATTGCCGCTGCAGTCTCACTCCCACAAGCACACACACACACACAACCAAGCACACAGAGTATAGAGAGAAAACTCCAGAAACTTTTGATTTTGACTTTGAATTTTAATTTCACTTTTTTGTGTGTTACCTTTTTTCTGCCTCGCTATATTTTTCGCCGCTGATTATTTCATATGGTTTGGCGGAACCACGCGTTTTTTGGTTAAAGCTTGTCGAAAGCTTCGAGAACGTTACGGTCGGATTAGATCGGTAAACGGTGAACGATTTACGGGTTGCGGGTGGCGGGTGAAAAGGGCAAGGGCGCGATACTCGATAATGCCTGCACTGGCACTCACTCACATACACCTGTTCTATGGACACAAACGAGTTACAGTTGCAAATGCCTTTTCAATTCACGGTTGCACAATGCTGTGGAAGATTTTCCGTTGGTCGGGGGATCGCTGGGCACAACAAGCGTCAAGTCTACTTGACGAACAACGAACATGTGACGGGCAAAGCAATAAACGGCGATGGGGCAAAGAGAGAGAGAGAGAGAGACCAGTTGGCGCTAGAGAGCGAGCGAATGAATCGGAAATTAGCAACACAAACTGAGTCGGAAATGAGAAACAAACGGTGCTGTGCTCCTCTCTCCCACATTTTGGGTAGTAGGTCAGGAGAGATGTGCTGGCTTAATGCTGACGATTGTTCGAGCTTTTTAAACAAAAAAAAAGCTTATTTCAAGCCCCCTTTCTATTGAATCTATAATTTTTGCCCTTTGGCGCTCCTACAGTGTGGTACATACAAAGACGGAGAGAGTAAGGTGAAGATTGCTGTAACGAAATACCGGCCGGCGATTGTGAAAGCGCCGACCTTGTTCCTCCCTCTTGGGCAGCGGTGATTAAGCGAGACGGGCGATGGGAAGAGAGCAGTGAAAACGAGAGCTTGCGCTCTCTCACTGCCAATCCCAAAAGCTTGCGGCGGCTGATGGATATTATGACCATGTATGATCGTGATGATTTATGAGCACCAGCACCAGCACACCAGGGCGCCCCCTGACCAACCATTCTTTACGCGTACCCACTCTCTGCAGCTGCACTGATCACGTGACGAAGGCTGCACAAACGGGCCACAAATAGCCGTTAGAACGGGAATAGCCGCAGAAATACCAAATCGCATTGTCGGGGCGTATTTTTGGCCTGTCGCCGACCAACCAACAAAATAAAACCACAAACATACATATCTATGAGTAGATAGTCCCAAATGCGATGCGTAGTAGCCGTGGCCACGCGGCCAACTAGAAATTTCAATTATTTTCCCAAAGCACACACACAAATATTTTCCATCCGTCTTTATATTTATGTAAATAAATAAATAAATGTGTGTATGCAGATAAAAATACGTATTCGATGCGTGCCTTACATTTTGAGGGATGTGGCGACAGTTCGCATGGATCCAAAGGCAATAGACAATAGCTTGATGATCCTCTTACGAGGTCCTTATTTTCATGTTCACTTCAAGTATAAATTCAAAGTGATTTATTTAGAGAATCGAGAGAATATAAAACCGATTAGAAAATTGTATGCACGTGCATCAGCTTCTATTCTAATCGTGTCGGAGCATACTTATGTGGGCAAATATATAATTTAGACGAGTGAATTGGTCAATGAAAACGCTGCACAAGGAACGCAGAGCCGGCCAGGAGAACGGCCATGAAGGTGCCGCCAAAGATGCGCCTTAGCAACAGATCCTGCCACTTGCGATTGGCAATGCACTCGCTGTACGGCATGCTCGAGAAGGAGACACTGTTGTAGAGTGGAATCCAGCCAGGGAACAGTCGGAACAAGAGTGTGTCCAGCCACTTTCGGCAGCGGAAGGACCAGCGCTTGGTAAGATCTCGCATCTGCAAGAGGAGCACATAGAACAGGATATGCAAGGAAAGCAGCAAGGAAACACTAACCTCCACATAGTTGTACATCGCCAGGTCGCAAATGGCGAAGGCGTCTTTCCAGCGCTTCTCGGTAAACTGCGCCAGAGCCTCGTCCAGCGGCAGCTGCTGTCCCAGAATGGAGGTCAGCAGGGTGACGTCTTCCATGCCGGCGTTCATGCCCTGGCCGTAGTACGGCACCATGGCATGGGCCGCGTCGCCCAGGATCAGTGCTTTGTCGGCATAATGATACGGCTTGCACTTGATGGACACCAGGTGCTGGGGCCTTGTCTTGAAGAAGTCCTTGATGAGCTGCTCCTCGCCAATGAGTGGCAGAGCGTCCCTGTAGTGCTGCCTGAAGAAGGCCAGCAGCTGCTCCTGGCTCTGGATGCTGGCGAAGATCTTGAACGGCATCGACAGTGTCACGGTGAAGGACTTGTCCTGGTTGGGCAGGGCAATCATCATGAAGGAGTTGCGCGGCCAGATGTGCAGATAGTTGGGCGGCATCTGGAACTCTCCCGCCTTGGCGGGGATGCACAGCTCTAGGTAGCCCGTATCGATGTACTCCTGCGAGTAGTTGAAGCCCGGCAGCTTGACCAACTGCTGTCGCACGCTGCTGAAGGCTCCGTCGCAGCCGACAATGAGATCCGCGCTGGCCGAGGCCACCTCCTCGCGATGCGGCTGCTGGAACTCCAAGACGCCCTCGTTGATGTTGGCTCTGGTCAACTTGTGCTCGAAGTGGCAGCGTATATTCGGCAGCTTGTCGCAGGCGTTGAGCAGCAGCTCGTTGAGCTGCTTGCGACCCACGGAGTAGAGACACTGCTGGGTGCATGGGTCGTACAGCACCACACTGGTCCGTCCGGTCACATCGTGTAGCATTCGGCCGCGCATGGGTATGGCGGTGGCCAGGACCTGCTCCTCCAGGCCCACAGCAGCCAGGGCCTTGCGTCCCCGCTGCGAGAGAGCCAGATTAATGCTGCGCCCCTGCACGAGAGCAGCGCGTCGAATGTCCTCGCGGTACTCGTACAAGTCGACGTGGTTGCCCATCCGGGCCAAGTTTAGGGCCGCCAAAGAACCGACCTGCCGAAAAAGAAGCCTGATAAGGGAGTTTGCTCTCCACAAAGTGGGATTATGATGGTCCATGGGGTCTGGTCTGGCACTGATAAGGGGCCACAGCACCAGCATCTAGATATCATATCTTGAGTACATATCACACTTACCAGACCCGCCCCGACAATGGCCACTCTTCGCCGCTGTGGCTCCTCCTCGCGGCCGTTAACCTCTGCGCAGATGATGCCTGTGCCTTGTGCCATGACTTCTCCTCGTGACGGATGGGACTGTTCGCTTCGGCTGACGCCTCTGGAATGAAATGGAAACCAGCCCAGTGGGTGGAAAGATAGTTAGTCTAATGATTATGCTGGATAAGTACACAGTAATTGCTAAATTGCTATCTGTATCTCTCCCACTAGTGAGCCGAAGAGAAGCCCACCAACTGTTTGACCGCAAAAGCCACTCAAAGGCTGTTGACTTGGGCTAAACATAATTTAAAATGTAGTTCGAGGAATTCGTTACATATGCCATGAATTTCCAAAACACCTAACGGCCTTATGACATATTTTGCTTAATTTCTGTATTTCGCGTTTGGCCAATCTTCGAAGTAATTTTCCATTTTCAAACTGGCGGCACTTTATTCACACAGCGTTGCATGCAAGTGTTCGTGTTGTTACAGTCACAGTCACGCCTTTGTCGATAGGATACCGATAACGATGTAATTTATACTTTTTTTTGATATTTTGACATCGACATTGAATTAAATTAAATTAATTTCATCAAGCTATTAAAATTGTTATTTTTAAAATATGCTGATGTTAACACCAAATTCGTCTAGCCATTGGTATTTTATTGAGAGCGCATGCTTTAAGCGCAAAAATGAGCTAAACTTCATGATATGTTTTAAAATTGAGTGGATTTTGCTTTGCATGCGTTGCATTTTCTGAGCTGCTTTGCCAGTTGACCATACCCTAATTTCTCCCCAACAATTTCCCATGGGAAATTGTAAAAGCTTTAAATGGTTTGTTTAGAAACCATTAGGATATTAAAAGACATTGAAAGGAGATCCATCAAATGTTTGATGTAGAATTGGCCAGACTCGTGCAAAATTGATTAGGCTAACGGGTAAAATTATGAGTTCAGTGAAGAAAATTCCATAAAGCTTGTAAATATTAAACCGAATATCAAATACGAGGAATATGATCTTCATCGGTATGTTTGCGGTATATTTTGCAAAATGAGGAGGTTTATTTCGGTATGTTTCTGAGGGTCTGCCATATCCGCGGTCACACGAGTCGTGTTGCGTTTGCAAAATAATAGAAAAAGTTTAATATTTCGACAACAAAACCATAATACTAAATAAACCACACGAGAATGTGCAGGCAACTTCAAGGCATTGAATTATAATAGAAAACAGCGAACTAAAAGCGGACCGAGTGAAAGCAGAGCAGTGCAAAATCTCAAAATTAGTTGTACCATCTATAGATAGCACCCAAGGAAATCCACAAAAGGCAAAATAAAAATGGTAATAAAAACGGCCAACCAACCGAAATACATGTTCAAGAGCAAGTGTCGAGAATGGCGGGGAAGGCAAAGTGAAACGATGATAAAGAGGCAGAGAGTGAGAGAAGGGGACTGAGAGACCCGCAGGCAGTGTCCCGCTTTCTTTCCTTAAATTAAAGGAAAATAATGAAAAGGAAACGAACTCTCTTGGCACCCCCTTCCCCAGCACTTCCCCACTTTTGGCTGCAATAAATATGTGAATTTTAGTGCTTTCGAATGGATTGCTGTAATATTCTCCAACATTTTATTTGTAGGGAAACGAAACATCACTGCCCATGGAAATGTGTTCCAATTGTAAGTACGAATTTTCAGTCAATGTCATTCTAACGGAATGGCAGCTGTTTGTGAATATGCAAATAACAGCACATACATGTACACATGTACATATGGATGGTATATAGGTATGCACAGGCAGTGTATATGGAACACTTATGTGGAATGGAATGCAAACGAAACGTGGAACAACGCGGCCGAATTTACAATAAAACACAAGCAAAAAATGCGAGTAGCCTTCAAAGTATCCTGCGATGCTCTACCATAGATCAATCTCTTTATGATGATCTATTAATATAACCTGCTACTATTATCAGTATTTTTTTTTCGACCAATTTCTGTAAAAAGAAGACATAACGGAGCGTCTGTAAGCTTGCTTAATTGTTGTTCTTGTTCTCGTCCCACTGTGTTTCGGATGATGGGCAGACAGACAATCCGCATCTAAAAATAACACTTCACATATGAATTATGCGCATTCTTTCCCCTGGGAAGGGGATGCGGCTGCACCTTGGAGATAATCAACTCTGATTTTAGCTTTTCCAATGTCCTTCTTTTGCCAGTCGATGCTGATGAGATTCGACGTTTGGGCAAACGTTTCCGCAAACTGGATCTGGACAATTCGGGAGCATTGAGTGTGGACGAGTTCATGTCGCTGCCGGAACTGCAACAGAATCCGCTGGTGCAGCGCGTGATCGACATATTCGATGCCGATGGCAACGGGGAGGTGGACTTCAAGGAGTTCATCCAGGGCGTCTCACAGTTCAGCGTTAAGGGTGATAAACTGTCGAAGCTGCGCTTCGCCTTCCGCATCTACGACATGGACAACGATGGATACATCTCAAATGGTGAACTTTTTCAGGCAAGCAAATACCGATCTCTAGGTTTAACATGAAAAAAAAAACTAATCGAACTTACTATACAAATTTTGGAATTTTGCAGGTTTTAAAAATGATGGTGGGCAACAATCTGAAGGACACGCAACTGCAACAGATCGTGGACAAGACAATCGGTTTCGCGGACAAGGATGAGGATGGAAAGATTTCGTTCGACGAGTTCTGCTCGGTGGTTGGAAACACGGACATACACAAGAAGATGGTTGTTGACGTTTAATAGGCTTACTGAGAATCATTATTTTTATATGCAGTTTTATTTATTCTTTTGTACATGCATATACGCGTTCTTCATTTTTTTCCACAATTACTCCCATGATAATGTCATTTTTTGTTGTTGTTGATCAGCGATCAGAGATTCGCATTGTTATGAAGCTGTTAATGAGCCAGTTCAGTCAGTCAGTGAGTCAGTGGGTAAAACAATCAATCAATCAGTCAGCCAGTCAGTCGAGCAAGCAGTTACTCTTAAGTTGAAAAGTGAAATTGAAATAATGCGCCTCCTACTTACTTCTTAAATGTATAAATCTATATACATACATACATATACATGCATATATAGTCATAATTTATTATACAAATATACACCTAATGAACTTACAAATCCTCAAAAAATCAAAACTAAAACTACACACAAGAACAATCTCCATTCAAAGTGAAGGCAAATAAAGCAAGCAAGGTTGAACCCATCCAAAGGATCTTTCCAATCGGTAAAGAGATAAAGAGAGAAAGTTCCGTGCGCCGCGACACTTCTATGATTGTTTTTTCTGCTTATCCAAATCGTCGTTTTCCGGCTTTCCACNCCACAGACACACCTGAGCCGGCGCCTGAACACGGCCAAGTGTCTTAGTTTATGTTAATTATTTCTAATTCTCCTGTGATTTTGCCAAAAAAAAAAAAAAAAAAAACAAAAAGAAATTGAAAAATTATAAAAAGAGATCAGAAGAGCAGAGGAGTGCAGAACAGGAGCATGAGCATGAGAGAAGAAGGGAGGGAGTAGGGAGTACGCGTGCTCCTCTATCGACTTAGCTTAGTCTTATTTACACGTTGTGTACTTTTTATATATTTATACATACATACAACCTACTTGTACTAATCGAATGTTATAATCTACGTATTTTTTATATCTCTTGACTAACTTGAAAAGAAGGCAACAATGTTCTTAACTTCTTAATCCCAACCCAGCCCTACCTAATCAAGCCTAACTTTACTCAAATCAATCGGATATTACGACTTACGGCTGCTCGAAATTAACTTAACGAGACAAAACGAAACGAAACAAAATGAAATATGCTATAAAGTTTATTGAGTATCAAAGAGTTAACTGAAGATCGAATAATTATACATACATCAGTACATATGAAAGCAATGCCATGCAATGCGATGCGATGCGATATTGCATAACAATTTTATACTTAAAAGTAACTCTAGTTAAAACAAAAAACAAAATCAAAACGAAAACGAAAAGCGAATAAAATGCATGTTACAAATTTTACAATTAACAAACTTTTTGCACCACTCTTGCGCCACCAATCGATTTGTTAGCTAATCAATTCCATTGCATTATTCAAGAATAATCAAATCCAAACCTTAAACCTAAAACTAAATCCATTGTAAGGGCAAACCAAAGAGCCGAAAACATTTTTATAAGCCTGCCGCCGCCCTAGCCCGCCTACTGAGAGAGAAAGATGAGGAGCCAGGGCTCGGCTTGCTGGCTTGATGACGCTGAAGCAATAAGAAGAAAAACTTTCAATAAAAATTATTTATACACCAATTTATTAAAGTGGGGCTGGTTTCTTTTCGAAAGCTAATATTTGTACAACTTTTCAAGCACTTGTGAAGCCCGGAAATACATTGTCATTACAGGAATATTATCAATTACGATCTTTTCTCTATACTTCCGTGGATAATAACTACAGAATTGTTCCTGTACCTGACTGTCTTCCTGGGAATTTGTCTTCTGCTTCCATTTACCTGTAAATTCTATTTGAATTTGAATTTGATTTGATTTTCTTTAGGAAAGAAGCCGGAAACACCAATTTAGGGGGCCCCTTCCAACCGCCTATAATAAATACAGAATCCCAACCGCATTGTAATGAAATAAAGTGCATATATTGGCCACAGAAAGAAACACAAAGAAATTGAAGAAATATAAAAAGAGATCACAAGAGCAGAGCAGTGGCCAGAACAGGAGCATGAAAGATGGAAGGGACTCTCTATCGATTCTCTATCGACTTAGCTAAGTCTTATTTACACATTGTGGTGTACATTTTACATATTTATAATTATCTACGCCTTTTAATGAAGCCTTTTAATGAAATAAAGTGCAAATATTGGCCACAGCAAATGTCATCCAGTGTATTTATCTGTAAATATATGTATACATATGTACATGCATGGGCTATATAAGAGAGGGAGTTAGTGCCGTGCCAGATAGGTAACTGATAAGATTGGGAGAGCAAAGCTCCCCTTGTCGAAATACATCGAATTTATTTGTGAAATAGTCTTCCTACCAAACGGACTGCTCGCGCAGGAAAGATAACTAAAAGCGTGAAAATGCTCAAATTAGACAGCAAAAATGGCATTATCCTCACGGGAGTGCTGTCGGTGGTCTTTGCCATTGTCTACTTGGCTCTAATGGATGACTATTTCTGGCGATGTATTACAATCGAATCGCGAAGTTAGCCGAGTTATCTCATATCAAATACAATTCGCAGATGGATCGTACGACCTGGGTATACATGTGTCGGTGCTGCAAATACTGGGAAGCGTATGCCTAGTAATTGGTGCCATAAAGGTACGTTCAAGTGTACCTCTAGCTGAAGGCTTGGATTGATAAACTTCTTTGTTTGTTTTGCTAACTGAAGGAAAAGTATAAGCTGTTCGTGCCATGGATGATAACCTGTGGATTCTTCTTGTACCTCATGGTATTTCTGGGCGTTGTTTTGATGGTCAATGACAACTGGATCTTTGTTCCGGTCATGGTGGTGCCATTTACAGGTATGCTGTCATCACATGAAAAATCACAACTATTCATTCTTTTCTCTGTTAATTGCAGCCTATCTAAGCTATGCCCTGTTCTCGGTTCAAAAGGCATTCGATAGAATGAGAAAGGATGAGCCGCCATCGTACACGAATCTTGACGGAAAAAAGGATTTTATAAGCCACATATAATGAGTTATGTACATAAAAATATGTATGTATATAAAACGCATATGTAAATCTAATCTAATCGTAAAGCGTTTAAGCATTGTCGTCAATGGGCTCTTTGGACTTGGATTGCTGAGCGCAATGCGCAATGCTGTCTGTACACAGATCTATGTATATCTTTAGACCATTGCTTGGGTGATTCAATATTATAGTTTTTACACAAAACTTTCGATCCTAAATGCAATATTAAAATACAAATGTACATATACACATCTACATATGTATGTAATTTTAGCCACAAATCAGACTCTATAATTTACTGTAATTTCCACTTATGTATGCATATGCATACATATGTACATACGTACATAATGTATGAGTGCTTGTTGCAGTTTTTTGAAGTAATTATATTTACATATGTATATTATTGAAACAACAACCATTATTGCTGCAGAAATGTATCATCGCGAGGAAGTTTTTTTACTATAGACACTGGGAACCGGATAGACTTGTGCGCGATGTTTCGAGCTCAAAACATTAGGAAATATTATTTACCGTATAACCGGCCTATGGAAGCGCAGCAGATGTTAGCATAAACGTGCATTCGAACAGTGCAGTTGAACAGTTTTTTAACAGTTGATTTTCTGTTAAGCATATCTGCTTTAAATCAGTTAAAGGATATAACATTTTATTGGCAGGGGAAAAGCAAAACAACTGATTCGTCATTAGTTTATTCAAAATTGTTGCTTTTCTTGGGCAGCGGCAATGCAGCCCTACCTATCGATATAGCTATCGACTGATTTATGATACATCGGAGCGAGGTCTATCGATGCTGAATTTCACAACAAACAAAAGCCGGGCTATTATTTTCTTTTCTTATTTTGTTTATCCCCACGGCCATGGCAGCAGCGGCACCCGGAATCGACGGCGTGTACTCCATTCGCTTGGTCATAGCTGACTTTTACATGGAGAAGCCGCAGTTTGGTCAGGATCCCTGCTACTCGGAGTTGCGCGGGAAGGAAATCAAGCGAGTCGGTGTCACTATATTTCAGTTATTATGAATCCTACTGATATTTACTGAATTGTTTGTGAGCAGGTGCCGATCATTCGCATATTTGGGGCCAATTCCAGTGGACAGAAGACCTGCATGCATGTGCACGGCGTGTTTCCCTATTTCTACATACCGTACGATAAGAAGGACTTTGAATCCTTGGAGCGGGGCATCTTACAGATTGCCATGCACCTGGACAAGGCACTCAATATATCACTGGGACAGGGCAGCTCCAATGCCCAGCATGTGTTCAAGATCCAGTTGGTCAAGGGCATGTGAGTCGGGCAGAACATCAATCAGCGAAACATGGAACAAATCTTAAACATGTCTTAATTTTCAGCCCCTTCTATGGCTACCATCGTGTGGAGCATCAGTTTCTCAAAATATACATGTTCAATCCACGCTTCGTGCGACGCGCCGCCAACCTTCTTCAGAGCGGGGCCATACTCAGCAAGAACTTCAATCCGCACGAGTCCCATGTTCCCTACATACTGCAGTTCATGATCGACTTCAATCTGTATGGTATGAGCTACCTGCACGTTCCACTGGAGGTGCTCAAGTTCCGCCGAAGCCATGAGGATGAAGGCAAGCTATTGCTGGACTCTTTTGTAGATCCTTTAGCCAAAGTCTAATGCATTTTTCAGTGATTCCCTATCCGAATGTAAAGCCCGCACAGCTGCTGGACACTAGCAGCGTTAAAAAGATGTCCTGCAGCTCCCTGGAAATAGACGTCAGTTCGAACTTCATACTGAATCGCTTCCAACTAGTCGACAAGGGCAAGGGCAGTCACACAAATCCCGGCATTGAAGCCATCTGGAATGATGAGAACGTGCGGCGTCAAAAGCTGGCCCAGAGCTACGCTGCAGCAGCCGATGAGCAGAAACTGAATGCGGTAGGATCCTGGTTACTGCTCCTCCTGCATGTATGACCAATTATTTAGCTTGCTGCTTTAGATTCCAGTCCTGCAACTGCCACCAACGCAGCCACGACTGCATGTGGAAGTCGCCGAGAGTGATGTGTTCTACCGCACGGCTCTCGAGAGCAAACTGCTTACCCTGGAGCAGTCGACGATGTCCGACCAAACCCTGTCGGATCAGACGCAACTCGGCAATGCCACCATGCAGACCACTTTGCCCAGCAGCAAGGAGCAGCGACGCACATACAACCTGCAAAAACTGATGGCCAATGCCGTTTATCCTGAGGAATGCTCCCAGGATCAGCAGCAGCTGCTGGTCAATGCTTCGTTTATCCAGAATCACGTAGCGAGCAGCAGCAATGGCAGCTTCTCTGGAGCTTCCTTTGCAGAAAAGGACGATTCTGCATACATGGATGAAACGCTGGTGGACGAGGAGCTAGTCTTGAGCCTTACCCAGCCCCACGGAGCTGTGCCACACGATGCTACCTGTAGGTAAACCGGAATCTATCAATATCTAACCAAACATTCATTTTCTCGCCTCTGATTCAGTGAGGGAAGAAGACCTGGAACTACTGGAGGTCCTGCAGCAGCTGGAGGAGCAAAGTGCCAATGAGTCGCGCATCGATTTGGACAGCTCCTTGGCGCCCCTGTCGCAGCAACACAAGCACTGTAAGTGCCAGTCACTGCCGCATAATTGCTTCATTTCATTATGTTCCCTTTAGTTGAACTAACTCCAGAGCTGCTGGACAAGGAGACGGCAGCAGCGGCTGTCGGTCCGCCTCTGGTATCCGATGAAGAATCTGATTCTGAGGGGGAAACAAACCCTGGGAGCAGGCATGACTTCTCCACCGCCCTGGATGATATTGATGAGCTGTTGCTTAAGCTGACACAAAGCCAACCTGCTGAGACAGGGCAGACGAAGCTGCCGCAGATCGATGGCTCGGATGATCTCCAGCGCACACCGAAAAAGTTGAGAGGCAAGGCAAAGGCGACGGCGACCGAGAGTCCCCCCAAGACACCCACCACACCCAAAAGGGACAGCCAGTTGAGGTCTCCACGCACACCCAAGTCCAGTGCGGCCAAGAAATATGCTCCACTGCCTCTCACCATCGGCAGAAGCTCCACGAAAAGTGAGTACAGCTGGATATATTGGAATAATTGCCTCTAATTGCCTCGACGCATATTGCAGAAAATTATGTGGCAGCCACAGGGAAATCCACGAACCCTCGCCTTAGTCTGCAGCTCGATCAACGACCCAAGGGTAGCCAAGGGTATGCCCACAACCAGATACCTTTTCGACAGTCTGTTCCTTATCCTTTTCTCGTTTAGGCCAGAGCTGTCGCTGCGCAAAAAGCTGGCCATGACGGAGCTGCGCCGCAAAAGTGTCGAGGAGTCATCAAACAGCTTCGTCCTGTTGCAGAATGAGTAGGGGAATAGTCACCTTTCCTTCTCTGGACAATAAACAATTCTATTCTCTTTGATAGCTCCACTCCGCGGCGCAGTACCAGGAGACTTACCCGCAATCTGGACAAGACTCATCTCATCTGCTCCCTGACGCCGCGAGAGAAAACTCCCAAACTCACGGACCTATTCAAAACAGCTGTGGATGCTGAGGAAGAGCAGAAAAAGCCACGTCGCAGTGCCCGTCATCAGGCTGAGAAAGCGAGTCCTTTGGAAACGGAGACCAGTAAAGGCAGAGCCCAAAAGTCACAGAGAAATGCCTCGGAAGAGGTGAAGATAGTTACGCCAGCTAAGAAAAGCCGTCAAATAATGCCTAAAAGTACTCGAAAGGATATTAATTTAGAAGAAGCCCAAGCAGAGTCTGTTCCGGATGAAGCAGCAACACCCAGTGGGGTGAGCAATCTGCCAGCTAGCGATGATGAGGCGATCGAGTCCGATACTGAACGCGATCAAATGCTTACCAAACTGCGTAAGACTCCGAATCTGAGACGCTTGCGTAGGAGTTTTCGATCTGAGGTGTTGACCAAACAGCACGAGGCGACGCCAACCACAGTCAGTCCTGCTCCTGCCGATCCAGACGAGGGACAGACCACTCCACAGCTGAGTCCCAGGAGCAACGAGAGCCAAACACCCGAGCTAATGAAGAGCTTCTATGAGCACTCACTGATCATCAACAGTCCGTCGATATTTAGTGATCACATGGACAGTCCCCAGTGCTCTCCTGATTTTGCACCTGCCACGCCGAAGGCTGATTCCTTTGTCATTGCACCTTTGGAGCTGCCACCCACGTACGATGAAGTGGTTCGCGGCTGTCATAAGCTGGACATACACGAACACGAATTCCAGCAGCCCTTCTACAGCAATCCGGACGATATGAGCAAGGTAACCGAGGTGGGATTCCTGGTCCTGCATATTCCCGGCAACAAGCTCAACGACTGTGATCCCTTTCAAAGCATTCTGGGCAACGACAAGGGCTTGGCTGCCTGGCGCCGTCAGCAGCTGATTGCCATCGGCGGCCCGGCCATGTTGCAGCGCCATCGGGGCGAGCAGCGCATCCGGGAGTACTTCAGCAGTGGCCAGACGATTGCCATTGAGCCGGCACAGAGTGCGCCCAGTCGACAAGAGGCCAAGATCTGGCTGAAGGCCAGGGAGCTGCTGCGGCAGCGGGAAGAGCCAGAGAGAGGCAACGACGTCGACAGTCCGATCAAGGTCAAGCGCCAGAAGATCACAATGATGCTGCAGAACGATGAAGGCGCAGCTGACAGCGAGGAGGATGGCGACTGTACCCTCAGCCTCACACCAATGTCCCAGGCAAAGGCAAAAGCAACGCCAAAAAGCAGTAAGGGTCCCGCGCAGGCCAAACTCAACTTTAATGCATCCCTGGACGAAACAGTGGAACCGCAGCAGGGCAGCAGTCAGGCCAGTGACCAGAGCAGCGTCTCAAGTAGTGTCGCACAGGCGGAACTGGACCGCACCTCCTTCCTGCGACAGCTGGACCAGCCGGGCCACCACCAAGAGGGGCAACACGAGCTCAGCTTCGGCCTGAGCCACGCGACGCTGGACAACACGTTTGGCTTCAAGGTGAATCTGGAGAACCTGCAGCAGGCCAAGGCGGACATTGAGTGTAACTACTTGACCATAATGACGCTGGAGGTGTTTGTGTCGACGCGAGGCGAGCTGCAACCCGATCCGATGCACGACGAGATCCGTTGCCTGTTCTATGCCATCGAGCACAGCCTGCCGGATGCGGATGCGGCTGGGTCGCTGCCCAGCAAGGCCTGTGGCTATATTATGGTCAATCATGCCCAGGATCTGCTCAGCGAGGGACTGATCCATGGCCTGGACAAGGACATTGAAGTTCAGGTGGTTGCCTCTGAGGCAGAGGCAATGGAGGCTCTGTTGGCCTTGTGTGCCCGCTGGGACGCGGACATCTATGCCGGCTACGAGATCGAGATGGCCTCCTGGGGCTATGTGATCGACCGGGCCAAGCATCTGTGCTTCAACATAGCCCCCCTGCTGTCCCGCGTGCCCACGCAGAAGGTGCGCGACTTTGTCGACGAGGATCGGGAACAGTTCACCGATCTGGATGTGGAGATGAAACTCTGCGGCCGCATCCTGCTTGACGTGTGGCGACTGATGCGCTCAGAGATTGCTCTCACCTCGTACACCTTCGAGAACGTAATGTACCACATCCTACACAAGCGCTGCCCCTGGCACACCCCCAAGACGCTCACCGAGTGGTTCGACTCGCCCTGCACCCGCTGGATCGTGCTGGAGTACCATCTGGAGCGTGTGAGGGGTACTCTGGCACTGCTCGATCAGCTGGATCTGCTGGGACGCACCAGCGAGATGGCCAAGCTCATTGGCATCCAGTTCTACGAGGTTCTGTCGCGAGGCTCCCAGTTTCGAGTCGAGAGCATGATGCTCAGGTGAGCAAAACAGTTCCCTTTCGAAGCAAAGTCCTTTTGGTTATCCTCTTGTCGCATTTTCCAGAATTGCTAAGCCCAAGAACGTGGTGCCGCTGTCGCCCAGCGTCCAGCAGCGTGCGCACATGAGGGCGCCCGAGTACCTGGCGTTAATCCTGGAGCCGCAGTCTCGCTTCTACGCCGATCCATTGATTGTGCTTGACTTTCAGAGTCTCTACCCCAGCATGATTATTGCCTACAACTATTGCTTCTCCACCTGCCTGGGCCGGGTGGAGCATCTGGGGGGTAGCTCCCCCTTCGAGTTCGGAGCCTCACAGCTACGCGTGTCGCGTCAAATGCTGCAAAAACTGCTGGAGCACGATCTGGTGACGGTGTCGCCGTGCGGTGTGGTGTTTGTCAAGCGGGAGGTGAGGGAGGGCATTCTGCCGCGCATGTTAACCGAGATTCTAGACACGCGCCTGATGGTCAAGCAGTCGATGAAGCTCCACAGGGAAAACTCTGCCCTTCAGCGGATTCTGCACTCCCGTCAGCTGGGACTGAAGCTGATGGCCAATGTGACCTACGGCTATACGGCGGCCAACTTCAGCGGACGCATGCCGGCCGTGGAGGTGGGCGACTCTGTCGTGGCCAAGGGCCGCGAGACCCTGGAGCGTGCCATAAAGCTTGTGGAGGCCAACGAGGAGTGGAAGGTGCGCGTGGTGTACGGCGACACGGACTCGATGTTTGTCCTGGTGCCAGGCCGCAATCGGGCGGAGGCATTCCGGATAGGCGAGGAGATAGCCCAGGCCGTCACCGAGATGAGTCCCCAGCCAGTGAAGCTAAAGCTGGAGAAGGTCTACCAGCCCTGCCTGCTGCAGACCAAGAAGCGCTACGTCGGCTACATGTACGAGACGGCCGACCAGGCGCAGCCCGTATACGAGGCCAAGGGCATTGAGACGGTGCGTCGGGATGGCTGCCCGGCAGTGGCCAAGATGCTGGAGAAGGTGCTCCGTCTGCTCTTTGAGACGGCAGACGTTAGCCAGGTGAAGCAGTACGTCTGTCGCCAGTTCACCAAACTGCTCTCCGGACGGGCCAACCTGCAGGATCTCATCTTTGCCAAGGAGTTTCGTGGACTCAATGGCTACAAGCCCACGGCCTGTGTGCCGGCCCTGCAGCTAACGCGGTGAGTCGAAGCTGTTGCTAGTTTCTGCAAGAATCATTTTCTTGACCCAATTCCATTCCCAGCAAGTGGATGCAGAAGGATCCCAGGCGCATACCGCGTCGGGGTGAGCGTGTACCCTTCATTATCATCAATGGGCCACCAGGCGTGCAGCTTATCCGTCTGGTGCGCAGTCCCCACGACATTCTGGCCAACGAGGGCCACAAGATCAATGCCATCTACTACATCACCAAGGCGATTATTCCGCCCCTGAACCGCTGCCTGCTGCTGGTGGGAGCCGATGTCAACGACTGGTTCACCAGCCTGCCGCGCAAGCTGCTCATGATGCCCGCCCTAGCCACGGCCAATGAGTTGGCCAGCGGCAGAGGCGCCAAGTCCACCATCTCCCAGTATTTCTCCACCACCAGCTGTGTAATTGATTGCGGCCGCCAGACCAAGGCCGGCATTTGTACCGAATGCCTGAGAAACGCCACCAAATGTGTTGTCATGCTGTCGGACAAGGTGGCTCGCCTGGAGCGTGGCCACCAGCTAACGCAGCAAATCTGCCAGTCCTGCTGCGGGCGTGCTGGCAGTCTACAGTGCGACTCCCTCGACTGTCCCGTGCGATATGTGCTAGAGGTAAAGCGTCGCGATCTCCAGCAGATTGGACACATTCGCAGGCTGCTCGAGGACAATTTCTAAAAGAAATTGGTGGGTTGTGCTCCAGTGAGGGAGTAGAAAATACGCAGCCACTAGAACAATTTCAGTAGTCAGTTCATGCACATTTAATTGACTGAAATACATTCAGGATAATTATGCTATCCGGCATATAAATATACTCGTATATTTTGCAACTTTTCTGCGCGCTTAAAAGAGTTAAAATTACATTAATTTGTTGTTTAGCCAGATTTCCTACACATTTAAAATGGCTTAGACACTACTTGTGGGTTTGTTGCTCTGTAATACTAGAGGAATTTGTTAACTATTGATGTTTAAGCATACTTTTGTGATTGTTGTTTGTGTTTAAATGAATGTTGTAATAGTATGTATGAATATTATTAAATAATTGCCTCAAGCTGCTGCAGAAATCAATTTAATGATGAGAGTTTCATCAAGGCCATAATTGTGTGGGTGTGTGTGTGTGCATGAGTATGTGCATGTTAATGTTTACAATTATTCAACTTTGTGTTTCACTTTTGATTATGATTTAATGCTACGATTAAACAATTTCATTTCAATAGTTAACCAAATTTATAACAATTTGTATATGATTACAGGTATATCTGATTTTGAGCAGTTTGTGGCAGAAACATCCAACAAATTACAATAATGAAAATAGCAAAAAATAAAAATAAAATAGGTTCCAATTATTTTGTTTGCATTTTATGTATCTGCTTAGATTTCATTTTCTTCATCATCCATTTCAAACATCATGGCATCATTCTTGGCATCCGAATCGGCGTAGGAATGCGAGTTGCCGTCGATGCGGTGGGTGGCAGCTGCTCCAGTCAGATCCAGTCCGCTATCGTGCAGTTTGTTGCTATCGTTGCATGATGATGGTTTCCCTTGCTGATTGTAGAAAATAAAAGAAAGACATTAATTGGTTTTGGCAGATGGTATTTGAGTGTGAACTTCGGTCCACAATTCGCACAAATAGTTGATTAAATATTTGCCGTCTGGTCAAACAACAACATTTCGCTGATGGCCACTAATTGAATTAGCAGCGTAACAGCACTTGTTAATGAGATCAGTCCAATCTGCTTTGATTCTTACCTTGAGGGCAGTGCCACGGGTCTCCTCGTAATCAGCCGAATCGCCCTCGCTGAGGCGTCGCTGCTCGGCACGCAATTTGCAATTGCGACGCTTCTGATTCTTTTTACGCTGCCCGAGGATGCTAGAGTCGTGTCTGTGGAAAGAGCACACACACACACATAAATGAATTATTGCAAATAATTATAGTTATTTATTCGTGGAACTCACCTGAACACTTGCTTCATGATTTGGTCACTAAATCTAACAGTCTTCTTGCAGCTCTCCGAAAGGCCAGCCTCGGCCTGATCCTCCTCGGGAATGCCACCAAACGATTGCGAAAACAGAGAGCCCGAGGCATCCACAGAGCACGAGTGAGAGGAGAACCCACAGTCATCGATGGAGGAGCAGCTGTCCGAAATGGATGGTCTCGGACCGTAGCGACTGAACCGCTTGAGAATACCCCTATTACCATTTCCATTGCCAATGGTGCTGTCGTTGCACTCCGAGTAGCTGCGTTGCTTTCGCTGCGGCATATTGGGGGTGTTGGCATCCTTCTTACCCCCCAATGCATCATCCTGCTGAACGAGCATGTCCTCACATGCAGACTCCGAGTAGGAGCGCTGCTTCTTGTTGCGCTTGCGTTGTTTTTTGCTTGGCTTTTTCTGCTGCTGTTGCTGCTCCTCATCCTCCTCCGTGGTGTTGGTGCCCAGTGGGGGGCTTACGTTGATCACTACGGCCTCTTTCGTTCGCATTATCTGAACATCTCTCGGGGGGTTAGGCTCGCGCCCATCATTTTCATCAGCCTTTATCTTGTAATGCCCGTACACCTGATACTCTTTGAGATCGTTGGCTTGCAGACCGGCCAGATAGCTCGGTGGGGCCTTGCTCTCGGCACCCAGGAACAGCTTCATTATCACATTGTTGTCCCAGGCCTCAGCTTCGATGCTTTCGATACTGTGCTTCTCCTCGTACTCCTCCATATCCGCTGACGGCAGCTCCATGTAGAAGGCATAGTGTGTGGGATAGTAGCCACTGCCGATGGTGGAAAACTTCAAGGATACGCTCCGCTGCGCCTTCAATGTCACGATGGAATCCGGCTGGACGTGTGGCACATCCAGAACAAAGGCCATTTCATTGTCCACGACATTGCAGTCGAATTTGGGCAGTTGATAGTGCACGGAATCGTTCAGGAACGGACTTTGTGCTAGGGCAGGCGGATCAGAGAGTGTGGCTGTGAATGAATGAAGATAGCATGGATCAGCGACGGACACGGGAGAAAACTTCTCGAGCATTTAACCTACCTAATTCAGGAATGTCCCCATCGGCATTATCCTCCACGGGGGATTCACTGTTGGAATGCAGCTCCACACCACTGTCCTCGCGGCTGAGGAAGCGCAGTGTGTCGTGCATCTGGCGCTGCTGATTAAAACTCTTGCGCACCACGGGCAGGGTGATGCTGAGGCGCCGCTTATCCGTATCAAAGCGGGCATTGCCAGCCTTGTCGTCAACGGTAAAGGGCAAATCCACCTTGAGGCGGTACTTGGCACCGGTTCGCTCACTCAACAGGTAAACAGACTTGGCAGTGACATCCAGCTGGCAGTCGGCAGTGGATCGGAGCAGCGGTAGCTCAATCTCCACGACAATTGAGCGCGGTATGGTCACATGGAGCTTGGCATCGAGCTCATCGGTGTACTCAGACAGGTCCACGTCGTGGCTTTGCTTGATGGAATACTTGGGCACAGCGAACTCTGGCACAGGTGTTGTCTGGGTTTTCATGGGTAGTATTTTGGGCTCTGAATTGGAGGTGGGCGGCTTCGTGGGATACATATGCTCGAGGGGATGCGGTTCCTGCTCCTCCGGTGTGGGATTGGCGACCAGCTTCCGTATCACAGTGGGTCGGGCAATGCCCTTGTAGGCCAGCTTGGGATACTTCAAATTGGCACGGTCCAGGGCAACCTCGTACGCGCGCTCGACTGCGTCCAGCGCTGTGTCGATCAAAGCTTTCCGGAACTGAGAGTCACGGGTGGCCAGGTGCAGGGCATCCGGATGGAAGACCACATCAAAGACCTTGCAGTGGTTGTTCTTGGCATCAAAGTCGTCCCGACCCTCCATCTGGGCCATTGGTATGGACCAGCTTAGGCCACGACTTCCAGTCTCCGGATTCGTGCCCACCACGCTGTTGGGCCGGGCAACCTCCGGCGAACTGGCGATATTGATGAAGCATTTCAACTCACCGTCAATGGATGTCTTCACGACAAATCCCGGCTTGGGGTGTACGAATTTAACATCAACGCCCCGCTCCTTCTCCAGCTGCGTGATCTCCTGCTCGTAGATCTTGCGGTTCTCTGGGTCCTGAACCTCATCGACATAATCGAAGAACAGCTTGCGGAACTCCTCTTTGCTAAGCGCCTCGCGGAAGGCCTCGAACTCGTCCTTGCTTATGTCGACACGCTCTTCATTATGGCGTTTTGAGTGTTTATTACGTTTGCCGGCAGCAGTTGACATAGCGCTCTGTCTAACAATCACTACACAATGGCTCTCTGGGATCTAGGATCTCGTTTCACTTGCACTTGGATATTCTTTACACAAATATAAATTTCTGGAAATTTTTTGTAATTTGATGTTGCTTGGCTAGCGATATATATGGATTATTACTTAAAACACTTGAACACTTTGTTTTTACGTTGAAATTTAGTTTGAAATAGCGTCAAGCTGTTGCTTCTGGAAAGATAATAACGGGAACGAATTCAATTAAAACCGGCTGATGCAATTGCCAGTGGAAAATTTCCACAACGGAAACTAAGTAAATGCATCCCCTAATGAGTTTCACCTACAATTGTCCTAGGTCTTGGCCTGCCCCCGTTGAACAAAAATAAATCTCACCCAAATAAACTTGGTATCACGAAATTCTAATCAGCATCTATAGGTAATCATATAAATTTTAATTTAATGACGCAGTAAGGCCGTTTGTCAAAATTTGCCGGCTCGACTGTGTTTTGGAAACTTTTAAAGTATTGGTAGTAGGTCGGCGGCAGAACCCAAAATCGCATTATGTAAGCAGCGTGGCGGCCCGGTCCACGCGTATTTTATGTGTTAAGCAATAAATAAACAAACTGCGTAGTTTCAATTCTTGTATCCCTCTCCCTCTCCGAACCTACTCACTCTCTCGCTTGTGTTTGTGTGTTCTGTTTATTACGGTGCTTGCGCGGCGAGCGAGAATTTAGGAATGAGACGATAGCTACACGAAATGCCGGCTGTTGGGGTCGGTCGGCACAGAGAGAATAGCGTGGAGGAGCTGCGCAGAGAGGGGCGATGTTCTTGATAAGCGAAAAAACCACTTGCCCTCAATTGTTTGTATTTGCCTGTGCTGTTAGCGAGGTTCCTATGTATCCTATATAGTGCGATTTGTTGCGCAGCCATACTAAATACACATTACACACCCACACAACTATATGTACCAATGATAATAACATGCACACAGAAACAAGCTGGAAGGGAGCCAGGAAAATGGGAGTCTTTTATACACATTTATACATCTTTGTAAGTATCTTTCCTGCCCAAGGGGGAAAACTAGGAAATTTATAACAGTTACGTGACCAAACACATGTTCGGAGTGGAGTGTGGGGGAGGGAGAATGAAGGAAAAATCTTGTTTGATCGATTCAATGTAAAACTAATTGATTTTCTCTAATAAAACTAAGTGAAACCGGTCGGACTAAACTTGATATTGAAGGAGGGCCCACACACTGGTTGGCGAAGAAATCATGTACATCCATTTGTACCATCGACGGTCCTGAATAGTCATATATATATGCCTATTATCCATATGTAGGTGCCTTCATATGTATTTTATGTGCAACAACAAATCCGCATCGACTATTGCAGACCTACTTTAGAGTCTTTCCCAAACTTGACATCTTGAATTGGGAACTGAACTTACCTTAAAAAAAATTAATATGCGTTTAGATTCTCAAAATTAAACACAATTTTGTTGGTTGAATTAAGTTGTTTTTATAGGAGTTTGGCTCTGGACGTTCTAGAAACTATTTCTTGCTGGACCCGGCTCACGTGTGTGTGTGTGCGTGCTTTCCTACGGAACATTGGTAGATTTTTGAATGCAGTATTTGCTTGGTATTCTCTGTTTGGTATTTTCGGCCAACGGGACTTGGTATAATTTTGGTATATTAGCAATCAAAAAATATAACTAAATTATATTGTATATGTATAAAATTAACAGAAAATGCACACTTCCCAATGAATTGAACGAATTGCATATCTAATCAAAACAATGCATTCCAAATGTGTTGATTAAGTCGATTTATTTTATTTTTCAGTGGTCACACTGTTCGGAATCCTTTGGTCACACCAGCACATACACGGAATGGAGAAATGGAGTCCAATTTATTTTTAATTTTTCTATTCTCGCTATTGGTATGCAAAAATGCACGAGGTACGTTTAAATCGGTATCGCGTATTAACTGGATGTGTTGGCTATCAGAATCATATCAAAGTTTGACAGTACGGGCGCTTCTGCAGCTCGTACAAAGTGGTTGAAAAATTGCCTACGGCTATGGCTATTGTGTGTTTTGGACAGCCCTGATTTGTTTTCATATGCTACGGCTCTGACCGATTGTGCTGCGTATCTGTCGATGCAGGAGCTGAAAATAAGTTGCTTGCATTCAAATGAGCGAAAACTCTGCATGGGAAATGTCATTATATAAACGAGATTGTATGCTTTCGTGGGCGTACGAGCATAAAAGTGCATTTTCTTAATGATTTACTCGCGCACACACACACACACCAACTCATACAGATGCCCCGATGCGTATACAGAACTTGGCGGGTGGTGTGTGTACGCGAGAGAGAGACAGATAGTGTTTATGTGTATGTGTAACATCTTCTTGTTGTCTTGCAGCTGAAATCAGCGAGCGCCTGCTGGAAGAGAATCAGGAAATAGACATGGAACTGCCCGCTCATATGAATGGCAAAGAGTTTCCAGCCGTGCCACAGAACTCGGTGCAAACGCATCCCAGGTGATTTTTTATAAACAAATACATATTTACACTAAGACTCGCATCTATTCATTGGTGTCCCGGCTTGAAGTTCCTATTGCTAATCCCTTTTAATCTAATCCCATTTCTCACGCTGCTTGTCTCTGAGTAGGAGACACATTAAGAGTAAGCGACGCATGAAAAGAAGGTAAAATCTACGCTTGAGGGATTATCTATAGCTTGACATACTCATACTCGTAGTAATTGTTACTTACTTCGGCAATTTGTTAATTACCATTTTTCTATAAACAGATACAAATGCTACTCGTGCGACCCGCCATGTCTCGATCCCTTAGAGCTGTCACACACATGCCAGAATGCCATTCAGGTGAGAGCTTTTAGTTAAGCCACGAATCCATGCCATTAACGAAGGGCTTCTTCTTTGTTCTGTAGTGCTGGAAATCACGTACACGGGATGCCGATGGCCAGGAAAACGTGCGGCGTGGCTGCACAACGTCACCGGACCAATTGCCACTGATCTGCAACCAGAACTCGTTAAACAAGCTGAATGGACCGACCAAGCGGAACGCTCCCAAGTACAACGTTGCCTGCTGCACTGGCGACTTTTGCAATAGCGGAGATTTTCCTGAGCTGCCGCCGATCGTCAGCGGCGATGTGACAGTCATAACGGCGGACACCAGCAACATCAGCAAGATGTCCGCGGCCATTCTGGGACCCTTTCTGATCATAACTCTGCTGGGCGCTGTGGCCATCTATTACATACGGAGGAGCCACCGCAAGCGCTTGGCTGCCTCGCGCACCAAGCAGGATCCCGAGTCGTATTTGGTCAACGATGAGCTGCTGCGCGCCACCAGCGCTGGAGACAGCACCCTGCGTGAATACCTGCAGCATTCGGTGACTTCCGGATCGGGCAGTGGCCTGCCCTTGCTGGTGCAGCGCACCCTGGCCAAGCAGGTGACCCTGATCGAGTGCATCGGGAGGGGCAAATACGGCGAGGTGTGGCGTGGTCATTGGCATGGCGAGAGCATAGCCGTCAAAATATTCTTCAGTCGCGACGAAGAGTCCTGGAAGCGGGAAACGGAAATCTACAGGTATGAGCTTCCATTTGCTGCTCAAATTTTCAAATGATAGCCAATCCTTGGTCTTTCTTTCTTGCAGCACTGTTTTGTTGCGCCATGAGAACATTCTCGGCTTCATTGGCTCCGATATGACGTCGCGGAACTCATGCACCCAGCTTTGGCTAATGACACATTACTACCCCCTTGGGTCGCTGTTCGATCACTTGAACCGCAATGCCCTGAGTCACAACGATATGATTTGGATCTGCCTGTCGATAGCAAATGGCTTGGTACACTTGCACACAGAAATCTTCGGCACTGAGGGAAAGCCAGCCATGGCCCACAGAGATTTGAAATCCAAGAACATATTGGTCACTTCGAATGGCACCTGTGTGATAGCCGACTTTGGCCTGGCTGTCACCCACTCACATGTCACGGGACAGCTGGACTTGGGGCACAATCCAAAAGTCGGCACCAAGCGGTATATGGCACCCGAGGTTCTGGACGACGGCATCGACATGGAATGCTTTGAGGCCTTGCGCCGAACGGATATTTACGCCTTTGGTCTGGTACTGTGGGAGGTTTGTCGCCGCACCATCTCGTGCGGCATTGCTGAGGAATACAAAGTGCCCTTCTATGATGTGGTGCCAATGGATCCCAGCTTTGAGGATATGCGCAAAGTTGTCTGCACTGACAATTACAGACCCTCCATTCCCAATCGCTGGAGCTCAGACCCTGTATGTGAATATCTTTCAATTATCTGAATTTCAAGACTAATTATTGTTTATGTTTTGCAGTTGCTGGCCGGCATGTCCAAGCTAATGAAGGAGTGCTGGCACCAGAATCCAAATGTTCGCCTGCCAGCCCTGCGCATCAAAAAGACTATACATAAGCTAGCTTCCGCAGATGAGAAGATACGCTTGGACTTTGACGAGGCGTGCGTTTAGGTCTGCGCTTAAGTCTGGTTGTAGTCGATAGATAGTTGTGTAAGCGATTAATTAGTTGCATTCACCTAGAGGTTAGCGGACGGTTAGTGTAAGATTCATTCATTTCATTTAGGGTTTCCCCCCTTGCATTTTCACACACTATTAGTTGGTAATTGTATTATTCCGAGTTAAGCCAAGACGAATGAAGGTGTAATTGATTTAATTTCTTAGTGATACGCATTGAAACGTATTTATTTCATTTTTGATATTCCTTTACTTCTTGGGTGCCTTATAAATTGCCTTACATATATTTGTATATTCATGGGAATGCCTTTTACCACATTTAGTACATCGTTCATCAAGTGCCATTTGCAATTGAGAATTGTAAAACATTTTAGCATTAAGCCTTCACTCTTTGAACTCCACACACAGACACGAGACAGTTACAGAAACTGTCCACACTTGAATTTGTCTTACTTTATCCAAGCTATGATAGATTAATAAGTTATATAGACACACCACCCACTGACTACCGACTACTGACTTGCTGTCTGTGCTAGAATACGCCCTAAGCATAAGCATAACCATAATCATAATTAGTTATCATCCCAACCCCACGCATAGAAGCATACACTTATTTGTATATTGTACAAAATGCAAATTAATTAAGTTTTGTATAGTTTAAATGAAATGAAATACACGTATAAGCGATAAGCATTAAGAACAAACAATTCCATTAGTTGAGTGCTCGAAAGATCTCGTCATTGTTCTCGTCCAGGAAAAGCAGCTTGAAAATGTCATTGAAGAAGTTCGGATAGTAGTCGCAGGCTCGCTTGCAGTCGGGCGTCCAATTTATTTCCAACAGCTGTGGCTGCATGACTTTCTTCTCCTCGTCTATCCACCGCAGCATTATGTCGGCGGCATAAAGTGCCCGGGACTGGGGGCAAGAGGCCAGACCGCAGGGCGGCGGCTCCTGGCAGGCACACTGCAACACTTCCTGCAGCATGTCACAGATTTGCTGCTCAATCTCTGTCCAATTATTGTCCGGATATTGCTGTTGCCACAGAGTTAGAAAGTCATCGCATTTGACATGATGCAGTTCCGCCTCTTCCTGGTAGTTCATCACTGTGTAGTGCTTCTCGTAGTCGTCGAAGTGGTCCAGCGAGAAGGGATGATTGGCGAAGCGCAAGAAGAACTTCCGATGGACATAGGACTCCAGTGGCTGAACGCTCTTTAGCAGTATCACGTACCGAATATCGAACTTGACCCGACAATCCAGCTCTGTGCGACGGAACAGAACAGGTCTCTCGATATACTTCTGGGCAATCTTGGGGCCGGTGGTAGGCAGACGCACAATTTGCTTGATATTGTCGGTTATGTGAGTGTCCAGGCCACGTGCCAGGTTCCAGGGTTTGATGATCCAATGGTTGTCCAGACCCTTGGCTGCCCTGGCTTGGTAATACGCGACAAACTCGGTCAGCTCTGTTGACAGATTGTATGTGGTGGGCAGCCAGGCGGGATATGTCTCCAAACTGACTCCATCGTGATGCTCCTTGGCTGCCCGACGACCTACAATGCTGAGCAAATCTTTGATGGTGATCACATACTCAAATGGGAACTGATTTATGAACTTGCTGGGCGTCTGCTCGGATAATTCCTCAAATGCTTTGAAGTGACGGGTAAGCCACAAAACGTCAGCTTCCTCTTCAGCGTCGACCAAGAGGAACTTTTCATCTGTCAAATGCTGCCGCACCACTTCGTACTCGGCATAAACCTTTAATGCATCGCAGCGACCTTGCACTGGCAAGGGATTGGTGTTCCTCTTTGGATATGTTTCTGGTATGTGTCCGCTGGTAAAGTAGTCAGCGCTGGGCTCCGCCTGTAAGAAGCTCACGCCACTGAGATTTTCTTCGACCCAGGGCAAGAGCAGGGCAGCTCGCTGTGGCGCATCCTTGGCCACATACTCGACCACATCCCGCGTCAGTAGCTCATTTTGCTCGCAATCTTTGATTGGAAACATAATACTATACGTGGTGTGGGTGTCTAGGTATAGCAATGGCACAACGCGGAAGTTCGGATCATCCGAGTGGTTCACGGCCGATCCTATTTCGTCCATCACATACCAAATGGGTGTGCGATCCTCATCGGAGTTACCCCCGTGGTGAATGGAGTAGGCATGACAGTATCTCCACAGGCGTTTAAGTATCTTGTCAACGCGCTGCTCGTGCTCCAGGTCCACGCCCGTCATGGCTGACAATCGATCTGCCAGTTGGGGGTTCTCTTCCAGTGTCTGACGTGCGTTGTTCAGCCGAAAGGTCCAACAATGATCTATCAAGTAAACGGCAAGGGGATCGCTAACTTTAATGCCCTCTTCGCGAGCCACTCCCAAGGCGAATACTGGGTTGGTGCTATCGTCATCGTCGCCATTCTCTTCGTCCACATCCTCGTCGTAGTCAATCAACATCAGTTGCAGAACCTCACCGGCATCAAAGGTTTCTGTGGTCAACTTTCGATAAAGCGCTGGCCAAAGATGCACTGGGACAGCCAATGTCTCCAATTGGGACTTGTGGAGAGCCACAAATTCATTGTATTTATTAATGCCATCCATGCCGCGTGGGATTCGATTAAGTGAAGCAGAGTCCCGTTCAGAGTGACCGTAGCGTAAGGGTTTCTGCTTCTTCTTTGCATTTCATCTGGAATAAGGTTCTCCTTTTGTTGGTGATGCATGTGGAAAAGTTTGAGCTGTGCGGTTTTGTGATAACCAGTTTTTTAAAATCGATCGGATTCATTTGAAAGTGGCAGTTATGTTATCAAAATTGTTGTTTTCCGGCTACCGGCGAGCATTTGCACGGTTCCCAGCACTGTTTTGCTTATTGTGTGACCAGAGCCGCAATTGTTGCTTATTTGCTACCACAACATTTCGAATTCAAATTAATCATATAACTCAAGTATATGTGCAACGATATCGTATTCCCTTGGTCTATTTTTTTGAAATTCTCAGCACTGGCAAACGATCATAGAATTGTGCGATAGTTCGATGGATTTTTCCATCCATCGATATTTTATTTGAGAAAAAAAATGCGTTTTCGAGGTAAAGAAAATATTTAAACACATTCTCCTCAATCCAAATACAGATTTACAGACAAAATAATATATATTACAATTCAGTGTGAAAATGTCGATACATCGATGGTTAAAACAGCTGACAATTAGCCAGCTGGTTGTGTGACCAGAGCTGCAATTGTTTTTTTTGTGTTGTTTTCTGCGCTTGTATATGTTAATGTTGCCCCTAAAACACTTAAACACAACAAATCTATTTCACCATTATAATTGATAAGAATCCATTCCCACCCAACCCGAGGCATTCCAGTCCAGCCAAACAAAAGTTCAAAGTCATCACAACTCGACAAAAAGCTGGCGAGGAAAGGGTACAACTAGATTTTACTTTCGTGTCAATACATTTAAATATCCGAGCTCTAGGCGTAAGCACACATAGAACACGCATATGGTGGCGGAGAGACACTAATTTTCAGTAGTTGCGTGCTCTTGCTTTGTTTTTCCCTTTCTAAATTTTGTGCAATTTCCCCGGCGCTGACGCAACAAACTTAAAGAGTGACGAAAATCTAAATTAAGAGCATAATGAGCGAGTCGCTGACATTGGCAAGCGATGCCAACATCGCCAAAAATGCTACATTGCCGCTCCCCACAGTCGCGCAGAGATTTAACTCGGGAATGGATCTAGAGGTAAGGAGGAGCGAAGCGGAAGCCAAACAGAACAGGAAAATCCATGAGCTTGGTGTCGATTTCTATCCAACTGCGCAATAGACTCTCGTGGGTTAAGTAATTCGTGTACCTCTGGGGCTGTGCTGTCGTGTGGCCTGGGGGATGGGATGGACTATACAGGGGTGCTCAGCTAGCGTGACATTTACATTTACATATGTAAATAAACTGCTGTTCGATTGGCCAACATTTAAATGTGATTTTTGTTCTCTTTCAGGATCCGAAAAACAACAGTTTTTGGCTATGGAAATGGATATTTAACTGGACATCGAGCTCACCGATCATGTTGCGCACCGTGGAAAAGAAGATTCTTTCGTATCTGAAGCTGCCCTATCGTGGCTTTTTCGTGGACATTGGCCCGGCTGTGGGCGAGGCGGACAAGATCTGGACGATTAGCATGAACACAGAGTCCAAGGAGGTGCCATTGGTCCTGCTGCATGGCTTGGGTGCGGGCATAGCCCTATGGGTGATGAACCTAGATTCCTTTGCCAAGGGACGACCTGTCTATGCCATGGATATCCTCGGCTTCGGCCGCAGCTCTCGGCCCCTCTTCGCCAAGGATGCGCTGGTGTGTGAGAAGCAGTTCGTCAAATCTGTCGAGGAGTGGCGGCGCGAGATGAACATCAACGACATGATCCTGCTGGGCCACTCGATGGGTGGCTTCATAGCCTCCAGCTACGCCCTGAGTCATCCAGAGCGCGTCAAGCATTTGGTGTTGGCCGATCCATGGGGATTCCCCGAGAAGCCCACAGACCCCAACAACACCAAACAGATTCCCCTGTGGGTCAGGGCCATAGCCAGGGTGCTGACACCGCTGAATCCGCTGTGGGCCCTGCGCGCAGCTGGACCCTTTGGCCAGTGGGTGGTGCAGAAGACGCGACCAGACATAATGCGCAAATTCCAAACCACAATCGAGGAGGACATCAACCTGCTGCCCCAGTACATACATCAGTGTAACGCACAGCATCCCAGCGGGGAGTCGGCCTTCCACACCATGATGCAATCCTTCGGCTGGGCCAAGCATCCGATGATCAACCGCATCAAGGACGTGCGCAGCGACATACCCATCACATTCATATACGGCTCCCGCTCCTGGATCGACTCCTCTTCGGGCGAGAAGATCAAGTCCCAGCGGGGCAGCAACATGGTGGACATCAAGATCGTAACTGGCGCGGGCCACCATGTGTACGCCGACAAGCCGGACGTATTCAACCGCTATGTGAACGAAACCTGTGATATGTACAAGGTGCAAGATGGCAAACTAATCACACCGCTCCAGCTAATACGAGAGTCGACAGAGTCCGATGAGGAGCGTGAGCCCAGCCTGAGCACCGCCAAGGGCGTTGAAATACAACCCGAAATAGAGCCCGTCTCCACCAGTGAGGATGTGGCGGCAACCACAGCGACGTCGGATGACGATCTGGCGACCAATGTCAAATCGAAATAACAAGTTCAAGTCCCAGAAGCACGCTACCCTGTATCTACTAGTTTAGTGTCTTTGCCTAGTATTAAACGTTCACCCACGCCCCCTTATCTATCCAAATTCTATTTTTATTGTGTAATAAACTCATTGTTGAAAAATCAACCAGAACATGGCACTGTGTCCGAGTGTATCTATGTCTGTGGAGAGTTCTCGGCGTTGGCAATTCGTGCTGATTCAGTCTTGGGTACAAAGTACGCTCCATGGGCACCATGACCGAACATGAGAACTTCCACTGACGATTCATACAAATTTACATATATACGATGCACGCCAAAAAGCTATCTATGGAGTTGTATGCTGAATGATGGACGTCAGAATAAAGACTAATCCGGAAGAACCCACAAGCGTCAATTGTTATTAGATCGGGCCATAGGTTGATAGGCTATCTAGCGGCCAAGCCAAAAGCCTAGCTGATAACTGAGGACAACAAACTACAAAAATGTAGGTGAAACAGGAGCGGATCTAGCCAAGGAAGTCAACACTTACTACATTCCAGCTGGGCGCATTTTAAGCTTTAATATTGGATTTTATAGCAGCCAGCTTAATCGTTTCACAGCAGACAGCTTTATCCAAGTCATGCTCTTTAAGACTGGGCGATTATAGAATTGATTGATATTGAAGTTGACTCAGCTTGCACCACGACCACAAGATAATGAAAACTTCCTTTCTACATCACATTATAAATATATATACATGTGCATATCACTGTATATTATACAGAATTAATTGAGTGTAACTAATCAGTGCATCGTATTGCTAGTTCAACCTCCGCAATTTTCATGACAAATGGCATTAAAACAAACAAACAAAGAAAATCTTAAATACATATGTACATACACATATGTATGTATGTATGTGCATAATACAGTCAACAATGCTCGGACCTTATCAAATCGCAACGAAAGCAAAAAGTAAATAAAAGTTGTGCTGATAATTTTGAAAAAAGCTGATCGCCCGTAGCGACAATAACAACTCCGGAGCAAACAAAGAAATTGTATACATAAGGTAATATTTATTTCACGAGTTCAATCGAAGAAAGCCCCCATTTGGGTAAGCTATAAAGTACACTTTAGTGTTCGAGTATAATGTATTTAATTGTTCACTTAGCATCTGCAAAGCCCACACGGTCATTGCCCATGTCGAACTCGGTGTAGTATTTGCCAATGAAGACATCGCCCAGAATCCAGAGTGGGCCATTTGGTGGGGGGATGTCAATGCCCATGAAACCAGAAAGACAAATAGTTTTGCCCATTTGGGCCACACGCAGAATATAGTCCTTGCCCTCCAGCTCAAAGGTTTTGCCACCCAGCACGAACTTGATGACCGGCAGATTGGGAATCAGATCGCAGGAAACAATATACTAGAAGCAGAGACAGACAGAGATTAGCAATTCCTATCGGGCAAATCAATTTGAAAGCTCACCTGGCCACCAATAATGGGGGTGCCACCTATTTTCTGATTGATCGAGGTCGCCTCAGCCATTGGGGCGGCGATAAGAGAGGTGCCAGTGTCGGCAATTACTTGGCAGCCCCCTTTGCACAGCTCCAGATCGCCAATGGCGGCCGAGTCCATTTTGACTTGCCAGTAGGCCTTGCGGGTGACCGGCAAGTACGTGAAATCTCCGGTGTAGTGCTTGGGATCGGAGCCTCCGAAAATAATTTCACCACCTTCAGGGCTAGCCGGATCTCGGTTCAAATAGAAGGAGAACACTGGCGACGAGATCAGGCCTTGTTCGTACATGGCGTAGAATGGAGGCTTGACTCCATCCACAGATATCGAGCTGTAGCCGAGTCCGAGAATGCCGTCGAACTTGGCAGCAACAAACACCAGGCCGGGCTCGCTCAGTGCCTCAGCAAAGGTCTGACCCTTGATGTCCAGGCCACCCATCGAGAGTGTGTCGGTGGATAGGTAGCCGGAAAGGCTACCTGAGCCGTACTGGATGGCAAAGGTGGTTCCGTTCTTGGCGTAGCTCGACGACTTACTGGCATCGTACTTGTTATGCATCAGGCAGGCAATGTTGGTCAGGTGACACTTCTTCGACGGCACCCACAGATTCGAGGAGCCGGTGTCGAAGACCACCCTGAAGTTCTGCGGTGGAGAACCGATCGATATGGGTCCGTAGTATTGGGCATCCATGTAGTTGGAGAGAGGCTCGGGAACATCTCCTCCTCCATATCTGATGCGCAATTGTTGCAGTTCTGTGCCCACATCGGCAAAATGTCTGCGTGCCGACTGGAATCTATTTAGCGGCACTCGCAGCAAACGAGAGCTGGAATCTGCCACGGCCAAAGCCAGGCAAGCGGCCAGCAGCAGGAGAACCTTCTGCATTTCGGCTGCTATGAATATAAATATAAAATTGGTTTTTTTAAGCTTCACACCTCCACTGACACTGCAAAAACAACCGTTGTGTGCAGTTAATTCAATTTTGCGCAATGATTCAGCATTGAAAATGGGCTAAATATGCCCTAAAGCGCGATACCGCAGTTTTCATGAAATATACCACAACGTCTATTAAATATACCATTAAATACATTAAGGGCGTTATTTACGTGCATTATTTGTAAATTTCGAATTTTGTATAAGAAATATATAACAATTTTGAGAAAATTTCCCAGAACGTCGATCAAGCCACCTTCCTGGCTTCCTTGAATCTCCTGTAATCAAGATGGAGTATCCGTACACCGTATTTTCCAAGAAACTGAGGATCCCTTCCGGCGAGAAGCTGTTTAATCTATAAATATTTATCACCATTATCAACAAGGATCAAGGAGAGCTCCCACTGTTTAAACCTATTTTAGGTTGTCCTTTCTCGTTTAATTGGTATTGCATTTCATTAATGAGTAAAGTAAAAGAAAATTATGCTTTATTTAACAATTCCTGTTACTTGAATGAAAAAGAATGTATTTGATTATAACTAAGCATTAACATTATATGTATATTATCCAAAACCATACCTTTGACATATACATACAGACTACGGGTAAAGTGTGCATAGTAGAAGTCGTACAACAAGAGCCATTTCATTTATTTTTACGCGCCTACGTAATTGCTCTATTACGGCATTTCAACGTTCATAATTTTGACTTGACGGTTCTGTGTATAATTTTAAAAATGTATTTGAATTGAACAAAAGTACACAGTGGATATCGAGTCAAGTTCAATGCATGTCCTTAGTACTTGTAACGATAAATGGCAACGCCAGCGACGCCAATCAATATGGAGCCCATTAGATAGCCCAAAAGTTTCAGCTGCAAGCAAATATAATAGTTAAAAAATTGCACTCTCTTACTCCCTTTTTGAATGTGTTTTAAGAACCTTGGAATTCTCCACGAGGGGTTGTTTTTGCCGGGCAGCAGTCTTTTGTTCCATTTTCTTGGCCTGGCCCAACATCTTCTGGTACATTTCTTTTTCGTTGTGTTGATCGCGACGCGCCTTGATAAAGAGCCTGGCCAGATCCTGTTGAGCTCCGCGATTTTCAGGTTCGAGTGTAGCCACCTTTTGGAACAACTTAATAGCACCCTGCGTGTCGTTCTTTCCTTCCAGTATCTACAAGGGATTACACCGAAATTGTTGGTCAAACACCATAAACAGGAATAAAAACTAAATATTTCACATACCCTGCCTTTGCGGTACAAGGCCTTTGGGTTATTCGGCTGACAGCGCAAGACGTTCTCCACAGACTTTAGGGCTGCGTCGAAAGCGGAAATTTTGATCTGAGTCATGGCCAGGTTGTTGTAGACAATCAAACGATCGTCCAGAATGGCCTGCGTTTCACTGTTGGAGAGCTAGTCAAATGGATTCTTTAGAGTTCACTGTGGGACATGTCACTACTTATTTTGGCTCACCTGCAAATCTTCTTTGTCAAATTCAGATTCCGGGTCCCCATCACGCGTGTCCAAATAGTCGAGAGCACGTCTGTACAGGTGAATGGCAGTATTGTATTCCAGCCGCTTGAAGAAGTAGTTGGCTCGCTCTTTCTTGCGGGTGCTGCAAAGGGAAAGACAGTTTCTCTTGTGATCATGTGATTTGGGAAGGGGAGTTGCTGTGCTCTAACAAACCCATATTTGCGGATCACTTCAAAGGTCTTCAGATCTGCAAACTCTTCGTATTTGCAATCTAGCAGCTCTATTTCATAGGTAAGCTGTAAATCGTAAACACCCATCAAGAAAATCGTGAAAATAGTCGTGTCTTCGCTATGCCTTCACTTACATGCGCATTTGGTGGGACGATGTAGTCCCCGTCGTTGTCTTTTTTTAGCCCAAGCGTCCCGTAGCCAAATCGGGGATTAACTAGGACTTGAGCGACTTCGCCAACTTTCAGCATGGGCAGCACCATATCGAGGCCCTGGACCACCTCGTAGTCGCCAACATGACACTGAAAGTTCTTTTCCTCCTCCACCACCTTGCCATCCTCGAGTTTGCCGGTGAAACTAATGGTTACCAGCTCACCGCGACTGGGACTTTTTGCCTCTTCCGGTGCCTTCTTGATGATGCGCTTTATCAGCTGCTTGTTGCCCAATATATCACATTCACTTTCCCTCTCGGCCTCCTCCCCCTCATCGCCGACGAGAGTCGTTGCTGCTGATGTTTCTTCAGCGGCTGCCTCGGCCGTCACCTTACGTATATCCTTCGTATCTTCGGCATTGGTCAGATCCTCGAAAGAGCTACTGCTAGATTTCTCCGTGTCCATATTTACCCTAAAAGGTAAAAGTGCGTAAAATGTTGAAACATGGAACAAAGGGCACTGCACTGGCAAAAGCGTGGACTATGCGTGACTGTGCAGAAGTCCACTGTCGCCTGCACCTGAAATGCAACTTACGCTATTTTACTTCTATGATTTATAAATTTTCGTGTTGTCAAATAAAATATTCGAAAATAAATTAGAAAAATTCACATTACAGCGAAACGAAAAAAAATTTACAACTTTGGCATTTCACTGCCAGCTAGAGATGGGCACTCGGCTTGGTCACTGCGACTGAAAAGTATCGGATGTATATTAAAAACTATACAAATACATTCATTCAACATAAAGTACCTGGTCAATGCGGAGTCATCGTCTGCGATCAACCAATTTCGTTGCAGCGAGTTAACAAATCAAAAAGAAATATATTAAAAACTATACATATTGTTACTAAATAAATTATATATTATATATATTAAATTGTCACTAAGATTTCTACAACTGGCCGGAAATAAAATAATAATAAATAAACCAAGTGACATCTCATCTGTAAATACACACATCTCTAATATCATTTTCACGCTATCGATAATAGAGAACACTCGATAGATCTATTCGAGTGTAACCAGAGTGCAGAGAATCAAGTTCAATTTAAATTTCCGTTCATTAGCTTTCAACGGTTCGGTCGGTCCACTGCCTCAGCGCGATACACCTCGAGATAAAACTACAAATGAAAAGAACGCGTACGCATGCCACATACGTATAACGATGTAAACAAAGAGATAGCAATCAAAAAGGCGGTACAACGAGTGCATTTTACAGATACACACACCCATGGGTGCGTATGTATGGCATGCGAGTGCTGCTCTCGTACACAAAGTGAAATCAGACTTCGAGCAGCAGCAATATTTTGCAACTGAGCAACGACAGCCACTATTGTTTACCATTTGTGCGATTCGTTTAAGCGTATTTCTGTGTTGACTGTGAAATTAACACTTTCCTATTGGGCCCCAGAGCGGTGGCGGCGGCGGCTGCGCTGCGGCTGTCGCTATTTGCCCCATCAAATGTGTATTCCCTCCATGTGGTAATGGCAAGCACAGTGACTGCAACAAAGTTATGGACTACTTCCTTCTGGCAGCTAATGAGGCTTATCTTGAACTTGATGCTCCCGCTGCATGCGAGCATAAATCGAGCAATGCACTCGATTAGCTTCATGACACAATTGACGGCATCGTGCAACAGGCAACAGGCATCTGCCGTCAGCCATCAGCCATCAGGTTTCCCTGTGCGCTTCCTTGATTGGCCATTTTCGCTTTTATTCATTCGCAAAATCATGCGCAATCATTTTCCTCCGGTTCGTTCGGCCGTGTTGTGCTCTGTGTGTGTCGTCCAACCTGTTAAACCTGCATTTCGTATGGTGCTGGGACTGGGATCGCAATCGGAATCGGGGACTTGGGGCTGGGCTCGCTTCACTTGGCACTGCTCGGGCCGGACTTTTCTTTTACGTAACGCTGCTGCTGGCCAGGCACGGCACCTGGCATACGTCAACCTAGTTTCTGTTTGTTATTTTCACTCTTTGCCGACTGCACTCGCCAGTCATCCATGTCCAGAGGCACAAAGTCGCCCAGCCGGCTCCTACAGTCAGCACCAGCAGTACGTAGCAGCAGCACGTTTTTATTATCGCACATTTCCCTTGCGGAATATTAATGGGCGAACCCAATACGAGTACTTTGAGGAAATGTAAATCCATAGGTTCGTTGGCCAAGTAAACCGTGTTCCTCCCCCAAGCCCCCAGGCTCAGTGACACCCAAAACGGAAATCGCTGTGTGCATAGCCAAGTGAATCACATCAAGCATCAAAACATAAATACTCAGATACTTTTGAATTCTATTCGGTTTAGTTCGGAGCATTAATCGAAACTGTGCCAATTCTCGAGTGTCAAGTGCCAGACCAGATTCTAGAAATTCAAAGTGAAATCAAATTGGAAAATAAAATAAAATAAAATACAATCAAGCAATTATGGACAAGCAAATGCTTTGCCATATATCGGCATTTGGGCTGGTGTTCCTGCTGACCTTTGTGGCGGAGACTAATGCCTATGGATTTGGACGTTGCCCCAACTATCCATCGATGCCAAAGTTCAATATGAGTCGTGTAAGTTCAACATCGTGCGGATCTTTACAAACTGAATTTAGCATAACGCAAATGTCAGCTGGTTAATTGGAGGAGGCATTCTATGCATGATGTAGAATCTGAAGATCTCTAGTTCAAATACCCTTTCCACTTGCTTATGTTTTTAATTCGAAAAATCAATTTTAAACCTGTCGCATCTTCAATTAATTAGCACAAGCCGGCCGAAGACCTTTCTTCATTTTATGGATTGTGCATAATGATGAACTTGAACCAATTTAAGGCCACCAAATCCGATCCATCCCCAATGTAAAAATGCAAACCAGTTTCACAGAAGGAGACATCACCAGCCACACAACACACACAAAAGCTTTACGAGCATGATGGCCTGGCCTGGTCTGTCCGTCCGATGGTTAACAAGCCACTTACTTGTGTTTTTTTTTGTAAATACAAATAAAAAATAAGTAAATCCACAACTTCCAATAAAAAACGGCATTCATAGGCATGCCAAGGACAACAAAGTGAACTAATTGCAGAGCCCCATTAGATGGGGACTTGGCTGTGAACGGAGGTCCAATAGTGCCACTGTTTGCTGCTGGGGTACACTCAATTTAGCAGCACGAATTAAATTGATTGAGCCTTGATTTGCATAAACGATAATCTCTCATAATTTACACGGCGAGAGCCACATAATGCCTGCACATCATCATCCAATTGAGCTCTGGAAGGGGCGTAAATAAAACATAATTTAAAATCATTAGCGACACATTCCCCCCGCTCTAAACTGCTGACCCAGGGGCAAAGACCTCGCCTCGGCATTCAGATGCAGCACAGAGCCGACTCGACTTTGCTTCTCCGCCTGACTTTGAACTGCAAGAAGCCACAAAGGTCTGATGACGGTGTCGCCGCTGCTCTGCTCTTAATTTGAGATGGTCTGGCCACAGAAACCAGTTCCAACTCAACAAAATGTTTATGTTTTACGCATTGTTTGATAAATGAATGGTGTGTTTGCTACCGGGGGAAGAAGTGAGGCGCAAGGGCGGTGACTTGTTGTTGTAGTAACCCAGTTAAAAGCGAGAGAGAAACGAAACGCAGGTGAAGCGCGTGCCAAGCGCAACTTTCAGATTCGTAGCTGCAAGCAACTCAGTTCTAGGTGCCATCTGAAAGCTAATTAATAGTTATTAAATATTTATTTGCAGGTTCTGGGCCATTGGTATGAGGTTGAACGTTCGTTTTACCTACCAGAGATCGCTTCGGGCTGCACCACATTTCAGTTCGAGCCGTACAGCAAGGGGGAACAGTCCAAGTTCCAAAACTTTAAGCTGGGAGTGGCCATCAAGAACATCAATCGTATGTGAGTAGACCTACGACCATCCATACAAAGAATTGTAGTTTAACAAGCAAGTTGTATCCTCCGCAGAACTGGCAATCCGAATGTAAATATTGGCTATGCCACGCCCGAGAACAGCCGATCGTCCATCATGGATTTCAAGGTGAGACTTTCCCCTTTTCGCTTGAACTTCTTCATTGTTATTTGTACTTTGTTTAGTTTACAACACGCTTTCCGGATGTGATTGCCCGTCTGTTGCCTGGATCTGGGAAGTACCAAGTGCTCTACACAGACTATGAGAACTTTGCTATCCTTTGGTCCTGCGGCAGCATTGGCTCCCTCGGCCATTCCGATCAGATATGGATATTGGGGCGTGATCGCGACTTCGAAGTTGACATACGCTCCAAGGTGTACGATGTGCTGAAGAAACTCTCACTGGATCCGGACAGATTGATCATTAGCAAAAACAAAAACTGCCCCGAGGCAATCTGAGAAGCAGCTCAGAGCCCCATGGGTCATCCCCCCATTTGTATATTTATGTTCTCATTTGGTTAAGGAACATATTGAATTTCATGCCTAATCATTTAGGCTGCTGTGATATCGAGGAGTGTGAATCGGAGCGGAGCGCGTGCCGGGAGGAAGGAGTAAAATCCAAACACAAAAACAAAAACAACAAAAATAAATTGCTACAAAGAATCAGCATCTGTATCTGCAATGTACTGGGGGGAATTTTGCTCTATAAATTATCACGATGATCCTAATTAAAAGGGAATAAACAATATTCCCCAGCCAGTCCAAGTTGCAAAGTTCCGCTGGGGCTTTGTCGCAGTCGCAATTGAAAAACTGATCCAAAAGGTTCGCTAAAAGGCAAGAAAAATGTCAAGTTTGAGGATTTTGCTATGCCTGACGCTGCTGTTTGCTATATGGCAGATGTCTGAGGCCAGAGGAGGAGGCGGCGGCGGTGGACACGGTGGTGGTGGAGGTGGTCACGGTGGAGGAGGACGTGGTGGCGGCTTTGGAGGAGGAGGAGGACGTGGTGGCGGCTTTGGAGGACGTGGCGGAGGCTTTGGAGGACGTGGCGGAGGCTTTGGCGGACGTGGTGGAGGTTTTGGAGGTCGTGGCCCTGGATTTGGAGGCGGATACGGTGGCGGCCGTCCCTACTATGGCTATGGCGGATACAGAGGATATGGAGGCTATAGAGGATATGGATATGGATACGGCGGCATTCTACCCGTGCCTCTGCCCATTCCCCTGCCGGTATCCTACAGCGGCTGCTACTACGACAGCTACGGCTACTACACATGCTGAGGCCTGGCTGGAGAGCTGGCTACGATTATGAGTGGGGTTTATTTATACAAATTACATTCAACATTTTAGTTATAAATTCTGATTATGTAAACGTCCCAAGAAAGTTGGGCTGCTGTAGACAGTTCACTAAATATTTTATATTTCTTATTGTTTTGATGGTCTTCGGTGACTCTGTGTGTGTGTGTATGTGTGTGTGTGTGTCTTGTTAGTGTTGCACAATGCAATGTGTGGGAGATTCACTTCACTTTGATTCTGGCTCACACATGCCAGTCGTGAGTGTCCTGCTTAATCCTAGTAAAAACCCATTAAAATGCAATCTACATACATATGGTTATATGGAAAACTTAGATCTACAGACTAGATATGAGTACGCGCACCATTTGAGTGGCGTGGCTGACATTCGTTGTGGCAAACAAGACCCAGAGCCCGATCAGAGTTTACGGGAGGCTGCGACGTGGAAGCATCCAGTGAATGGTAGACAATCAATTCCTTGCGAGTTATCAGCGCCTTTCCCTCTGATCTGGGAAATCAATATCAATATATCAATCATCTACATATGTGTGTGTGTATTAGAGAGTGTCTTGCTGTATATGTTTAATCGTTGTATGGCCTGTCCCGGAAGACAACGGACGAGCATTCTGTTTACGATTTATGGATTACGGATTCATTGCAGACGTGAAACGCGACGGAGTTATTGCTGTTGTTTGAATTCGATGGAGCTCTAGAGCATTGCCTTGCACTCGTTCTCTGCTATGCTGTGCTGAATGCAGTGATTGATCTCGGCAAAGCCCGGTCTCTCGCTGGACTTGCGGTTCCAGCATCGACGCATTAGCGCGTAGACGGAGAGCGGCGTGTTATCCGGACAGCCGAGAACATTGCCCTCCTTGATGTACTTGATGACCTCTTCGTGGGTGAGACCGAAGTACGGCTGCAGGGCGAAGGAGAAGACCTCCCAGAGCACGATGCCGTAGGCCCACACATCCGACTCCAACGAGAATTTGTTGTACAGAATGCTCTCCAGCGGCATCCAGCGTATGGGTATGAAGTCGTTCTCGTCCCCCTTGTAGTAGTCCTGCAGATAGATCTTGTGCGAGAGCCCGAAGTCGGCTATCTTCACCGTCATGTGCTCGTTGATCAGGCAGTTGCGGGTGGCCAGGTCGCGGTGGACGAACTTTCGCTCCGACAGGTAGAGCATTCCCGCCGCAATGTCGGCGGCCATTTGCAGCAGATGCTTCTCGTTGAGCTGCAGGCGATCGCGTGGCTGTGCCTGGTGGGTGGCAAAGGGTGAGCAGGCGCGCAGGAACTCGCTCAGATCTCCCGGCGCCATGTACTCGAAGAGCAGGCACATGGGCCGACCCAGGGCGCATACGCCGAGCAGCTTCACGATGTTCGGATGCTCGAATTCGGCCAGCAGGCAGGCCTCCCGCTCGAAGTCCATTTGCATCTGATCGCTGGCATCGTCCTTCAGCATCTTGACGGCCACCAGGAGATCATCCTGGCCGGGCACCAGACCAGGAGCCTTGGCCTGGAACACCCGACCGAAGGCGCCCTGGCCGAGGGAACGCACGTACACAATATCGCCCCGTGGATACTCCAGCTTTTCCAGACGGGCATTCTGCTTGCCCTTCGTATCCTGGATGGCCACCGTGGTAAGGGTCACACAATTGCTGTGGATTGTGGCAGTGCTGCGGATGGTGCCCCACTTGGCCAGGGTGTTCGTGTTGCCTCCGAGTGTCTCCCGACTGGTGGCCAAGTTGCCGCCGCACTCGCCGCCGCGCATCGAGGCATTGCAATCGCCAGCAGATCCACCACCCATAGCTCCTCCTGCACCAGTTCCGTTTCCAGTTCCTCCCGGCGGCTGGGAGTAATCCTTGTGTTTGGACAGCTTGTAGACTAGCAATATCAACAGGTGGAGTACAACGATCCCTATGAAACCGATCCCCGCCAGCAGGAAAATCATTGAGGGAGTGAAGAACTTCTCCATCTTGATGGGCGTATTCAGGTCGCTGGCATTGGGATCTACATAGTCGGCTGGGAAGAAGTAACCAAAGATTAGCTGCTGCTGTTGGCAAGGGTTAAGGGGAGCTGCACGACTTACGGCATATGGGAATGTCACAGTGCTGCCAGCGCACGGATTCGTCCACTGTATAGCACCAGGGCTGCTCCTCCTCTCCGCCCGCATTTCGGCAGTAGTTCTCGCCCTCGAGCAGCTGCGGAAACACCAGTGGTGGCTGGATGTGCTTGTGCGGATGCTGTGTGTCCCAGCGCTGGCAGGGAATGCCCGACTTGGTCACGTTCATGGTCCCCAAATAGAAGCGTCCATTGCCATTTCGACAGTCGTCTGCAAAAGCAACCAGAATGGCTGTTATTGGGGAAAGAATCTCTAAGGGATGGGGTGACACTCACAGCTAACTTCCGACTCCTTGATCTCGGTGAGGCCTATGTACGAGCAGTTGGGCCGCCGCATGGAGGTGTCGTAGTGTGGCAGAGCGGAGCAGTTGGGCAGCCGGAAGGAGCCCCGACTCTTGATGAACATATTGCGCTCCTTCTTCTCCTCGATGAGCACCCAATCGTTGTAGCAGAACTGCAAATGGGTGGCCTGGCAGTCCTCGAAGCAAAGTGGGGCCTTCACAGCTCTTCCCTCCTCCACATGGCAGTTGGGAAACGCGTAGGCGCACAGCATTTTCTGTAGATCAAAAGGAATACATAAATACGAAAGGGTTTGGGTAGGGTCAGTGGACTGCTCACCTCAGCCGCCTCGCGGCACAGACCCGTGAGGTCGCTTATCAGTTCGTCCCACAGCGCCGTGGTGGTCTGCTCATTCTTCCAGCCACCCGTGGGGTCGTCCAGGCTGTACCACACCTGACCGACAATGTACTGCTTGCACACCTTGCCGTTGTAGGGGGCACAGTAGCCGTTGTCCTCGACCCGCTCCCTGTCGTGCTCGTGGTGGCGCTGGCGCTGGTGGTGGCGTCGCGCTGGTTCCTCGATGGCGTTCTGGGAGTTGCCGTGCGCTCCGCTGGTAAGAAAGAACACGCAAAGCCCCACGGAAACCACAAAAACCAACAAACTTGGTATTTTCCTCATTCCCAAAGCAAACCCCACACTCCCATTGCCACCCACTCCCACCCTCAACCGGGCCGCCATGGCTGCGTTTCTGTATATGCACGGCCGAAGCTTTGTTTTGCGCACTCTTTCTAAACGAAATCCTCGCAGCGACTCGCGGCTTCACTCATCTCACACAGCTCCAGGCGGATGCACTGCCTCTCCTAAGCTAATCTTTAGCCACTTTCTGGCAAGTTTTCAGTGAGAAAAGCCGCTCAAATCTGTTTATTTTCGCAATGTTTTTCTCCGTCGACGACGCCTTTTCACCGAATACCACAAAAGTTGTCGACGCCAGGCCAACGGACTGGGCGACCGACGCACAGGGGTTCACAGGGGTTCACAGGGGTGGTTTCCACCACCAAGAACAGGGTTGTTAAATGCGCGGCAAAAGCCAAAACCAAACCAAAGGGGAGGCCCTTGACTTTATTCTGAATCGCAATAACATCGTAACATTTTTTTATTTTTTTAACGTTTTTTAATCCTACTGATCATCTTCACTCTGCTCGATATTTTGATTGTTTTCTTCCTCATCGGGAATGGCATCAAGTCCCTGGAAAAAAAGGGGGGCTGGCTATAGCACTGTGCAATGGAATTTCCAATCAAAACTACAGGAAAACTCTACAACGACCAATCTTTCACTTCCGCACTTTACGTTTATTCACTTTTGCACTTAAGTTTTAGAGAAATTTCACTTAGATCAACTTAATCCTTCTTCTCATCTGGAATGGCATCGAGACCCTGCAAGGAAATTAATGGTGTCTCAATACAGAGGATTGTTTCTGCGAAAACTATAAATGAACGTGCAATATGGGAATGCAATGAGAATCGAGGATCAATCGAGGATCCATTGTGAGAAACAATAAATTAAATTGCGAAATGAATAGAACCAACACCAAGATGGAATGCAAACATTAACCAACAAAATGCAGAGAATATGGAAACAACACTCATCAACAAATATCACTTACATTCATCAAGTACGGATTATCGGTCAGTCGGAAATCGCGTTGGTACATCACACGGCTGAAACGCTCGTCCATGTTGCGACGGAAGGCCTGCGGGAGTGTACAAAAAAACATTAGAAATCATTGCAAAAGTGCTCCGGCCATCTTTTAACTATTTGCAGCAAGCCGCACATCCCGCAGTGCTTAAAATATGTTAAATAAATGCCGTCTTGTGCCCAATCAACTGCGGTTATATAAGAACTTGGGTTTGCTCGGCCAGAGGGCAGCGATCGAACTCACATTGCCCAGGGTGAGCTTCTGCACGCCGTATGTAGCGTATATGGGCACGGACAGGAGCACCGTGATGATAGCAGCACCAGGTAGGATTTCGAACCACATCTTGCCAAGAAAAAGTGTCTTGTTATTTTTTGCACAAACGGGAAAACAGACACGGACAAATCAGCTGTTTGACTGCAGTGCTGGAAAGTTTTGTTCGTTCCGCTTATCGCACTAAAATACCGATGATACTTTTGGCCCGGTCTCAAATATATTTTCAACAGACATTGTGTATATCGATATTTTTATACAGCAAACATTCGTTCACTTGTTCTTTTTTTCCACATAAAAAAACAGCAACAACGACATTTAGAGCGCACAGCGAGAGCAGCAATAAATTTGATAGTATGAGTATGGCTACAAGCGGAATTGTCGAGTCATTTCCCACGGGTGCCCTGGTGCCCAAGGCGGAGACAGGAGTTCTAAATTTTCTTCAAAAGTATCCCGAATACGACGGTAAAGATGTAACAATTGCCATATTCGATTCCGGTGTGGATCCTCGTGCCACAGGACTGGAGGTGAGTTGGCACTTTTAAAAGTAGCTTGCATTTTTCATCAATTACTCCGCTTAATGCACTTGTGTGTGTTTCTGTAGACGCTCGTTGATGGCAAAACGATTAAAGTGATTGAGCGCTACGACTGCTCGGGCTGCGGCGACGTAGATATGAAGAAGAAGGTCACTCCAGATGAGAATGGAACGCTGAAGGGTTTGTCGGGCACCACCCTGAAGCTCAGTCCCGAGCTGCTGGCCCTCAACACGGATGCCGACAAAGCGGTTCGCGTGGGACTCAAGTGCTTCGGGGATCTGGTGCCTTCCAAGGTGCGCGACAACATTGTGGCCCAGGCGAAGCTGAAGCACTGGGACAAGCCCCACAAGATTGCCACGGCCAACGCTAGTCGCAAGATATCCGAATTCGAGTCACAAAATACAGGTGAGTTTGCCAGCAAAGGCTTCACTTGAGCAGGCACGAAATATATTCATGCTGCTTTCAGGAGAAGCGCCCAAACTGCAGTGGGATAAGAAAATCATCAAAGAGAATTTAGACTATGAGCTGGAGATGCTTAATAGCTATGAGAAGGTCTACAACGATGTTAAAACCTCGTACGACTGTGTCCTCTTTCCCACGGCCAACGGTTGGCTGACGCTCATCGACACCACCGAGCAGGGCAACCTGGATCAGGCCCTGCGCATTGGCGAGTACTCGAAGACACACGAGACCCAGAACGTAGACGACTTCCTATCGATATCCGTGAACGTCCACGATGAGGGAGATGTGCTGGAAGTCGTGGGCATGTGCTCACCCCACGGCACCCACGTCTCGTCGATTGCCAGTGGCAACCACAGCTCCAGGGACGTCGATGGCGTTGCGCCAAATGCCAAAATCGTGTCCATGACCATTGGAGACGGACGCCTGGGTTCCATGGAGACGGGCACTGCTCTGGTGCGTGCCATGATGAAGGTTATGGAGCTGTGCCGCGAGGGCAGACGCATCGATGTGATCAACATGAGCTACGGGGAGCATGCCAACTGGTCCAATAGCGGGTAAGCGAGTACGAATGGCCTAATGGAAGCTAACCCAAAAGTGCCTGTTTCTCTAGCGAGTTTGCTGATAAGCGTCGAAGGGTAAAGAAGATTGGTGGGTGTTCGAGGTAAATGCAACCCACAAAACGTATCACAACTCTCTTCTCACACTCTCCACACCTCCACTCCACTCCTCTCTCTCCGACAATTATGATCTGAACATCAGATAAACACGCTACAGCAAACATTCACCTGTCTGATATATATTAATTCATTAATAAATTTAATCTCCGCGCTGCTCTCTCTCCCTAATCTCTTTCAGCCGCATTGGCGACCTAATGAACGAGATCGTGAACAAGTATGGCGTTGTCTGGGTGGCCTCCGCTGGCAATCATGGCCCAGCGCTCAGCACCGTTGGCACACCGCCAGACATCAGTCAGCCGAGCTTGATCGGCGTGGGCGCCTATGTCTCGCCCCAGATGATGGAGGCGGAGTATGCGATGCGGGAAAAGCTGCCCGGAAATGTGTACACCTGGACATCGCGCGATCCCTGCATCGATGGCGGCCAGGGCGTTACGGTCTGTGCTCCCGGTGGAGCCATTGCCTCCGTTCCACAGTTCACCATGAGCAAGTCGCAGCTGATGAATGGCACCAGCATGGCCGCACCGCACGTTGCCGGTGCTGTGGCTCTGCTCATCTCCGGGCTCAAGCAGCAGAACATCGAGTATTCCCCGTATAGTATTAAGCGTGCCCTCAGCGTGACGGCCACCAAACTGAGCTACGTGGATCCCTTTGCCCAGGGTCACGGTCTGCTGAATGTGGAGAAGGCTTTCGAGCATTTGGTGGAGCATCGTCAGTCCAAGGATAATATGTTGCGGTGGGTCTTAGCCTCTTAAATGTTCTCTGATTGGTGTATTCAACATTCTGTACACTTCCAGGTTCTCGGTTCACGTGGGCAACAACATGGCCAAGGGCATCCACGTTCGCCAGGGACTACTCCGTAATTTCATCGATTTCAATGTCAACATCGAGCCGGTCTTCTTCAATGACAAGGAGACGGGTTAGTATCCAATACCGCATCCGATAAGCGGCACCCACTAAATGTTATTCTCCCTCTGCAGATCCCAAGGACAAGTTCAACTTTAATGTGCGTCTGAATCTGATAAGTTCGCAGACCTGGGCACAGTGCGGCTCCTTTCTGGATCTCAGCTACGGCACTCGCTCCATTGTCGTTCGCATCGACCCCACGGGACTTCCTCCAGGCGTACACAGCGCTGTGTAAGCAGTTCCCACGCCCACCTTTCAGCCAGCAATTTATTACCCTTTGCTTTTCAGTATTCGAGCCTACGACACGGATTGTGTCACCAAGGGCCCACTCTTTGAGATCCCCGTGACTGTGGTGCAGCCCCATGTGCTGGAGTCTGATCTGAACACGCCCATCTTCGAGCCAGCCTCCTCCAAGGGGGACAATAGCGTAGAGTTCCAGCCCAATACCATACAGCGGGACTTTATCTTGGTGCCAGACCGCGCCACCTGGGCAGGTAAGAATCCCCCTGACAATGGTCAGCCTCGTCACGAACTGAAATACTTTCCGTCTTTTTGCAGTGCTACGCATGCGCATCACCGATCCCAATCGTGGCAAGGACACGGGCAAGTTCTTCCTGCACACCAATCAACTGCTGCCGAAGCAGTCGTGCCGCAAGAGCGAGACCATGAAAATCATTTCCGTGAGCTCGGATCATGAAACGACCACCGCCTTCAAGGTAAAGGCTGGCAAGATTCTGGAGCTGTGCATAGCCAAGTATTGGTCCAACCATGGCCAAAGTCACTTGAAGTACAGCCTGGAGTTTCGTGGCGTTGAGGCGTTCAATCCCAATGCATGTGAGTCTTGCCATCGAAGCTTCTTATCCTTCGATTAATCCTTTATCCTTTGTAGATGTCATGCAATCTGGCAAGGGCATTCACAAGCTGGAGATCGAGGCCCTGGTGGCGGAGGATATCCAGCCACAGCTGCAACTGAAGGCTGCCGCCGTTGTGCTCAAGCCCAATGAAGCAAAGATCTCGCCATTGAGCGCCAGTCGCGACGTTATACCAGAGGGACGACAGGTGTACCAGAACCTCTTCGTGTACAGTCTGAACGTGGCCAAGGTGGCGGAGGTGTCGCTCCATGCACCGATCTTCAATGATTCGCTGTACGAGTCGGAGTTTGAGTCCCAGATGTGGATGCTCTACGACGCGAATAAGGCCTTGGTGGCCACCGGCGATGCCCACTCGCAGAATTTCTTCACGAAGCTGGAGAAGGGCGAATACACCATCCGGCTGCAGGTGCGTCACGAGAAGCGCGATCTGCTGGAAAAGATCGCGGACGCCAATCTGGTGGCCACGTTCAAGCTCGTCAACTTCATCAACCTCGACTTCTACGAGAACTACAACCAGTGCATTGTGGGTGGGCGCAAGCTGACGCCGGCCGTAGTACGGCGATCCACTCGAGTGGTGTACGTGGCTCCCATTAGCCAGGAGCGGCTTAACAAGGCCAATCTGCCGGCCCAGTGTTCCTGGCTCTCGGGCAATCTGGTCTTCCCCAAGGACGAGGCAGGCCGTCGTGTGGCCCTGCACTCGTTCAGCTACATCCTCAATCCTGCAGAGAAGAAGTCATGTTCATCCGGCAACGGCAACAACTCTGCAAACAACTCGGCAGCATCAGCAGCAGCAGCGGCAGCAGTTCCCGCTGCCGTCAACGCCAATACAGCCAAGCCAAAGGCGCCGGCATCGCCGCCATCAGCCACATCCGTCCAGCCGGCAAATTCGGCTGCTGGCGATGGAGTCGCCACGCAGACCGACACTCCACCGGAGGGCAATGGTGGCAGTCCCGTCTCGCCCAAGAAGGGGAAGACAAATTCGGATGAATATGCCGAGATGTTGCGAGACTTCCAGTGCACTCACATCGTCAAGTGTGGTAAGAGATAGTCCAGATTTATGCGGATGGGGATATCATTGCAATGCCTTCTCTTACAGAACCCGAAATGGCCGAGAAGATCTACAGCGAGGTGGTGGAGGCGCATCCCAAGCATTTACAGGCCCATCTGCTGCTCATCCAGAACATCGAGGCAGCGCAGCTGAAATCCGCTTTCCCGCTGACCTTTACAAATGGCCAGAAAAGCGAGAAGCCTAAGGGCGACAATGTCGAGCAACAGAACGAAGAACAGAAGAAGCTGCGCAGTGCCCTGGAGCGCGTCATCAAGCTGGCCGATAATGTGATTGTGGAAACCGATGTGGAGGCGCTGCTCTCCTACTACGGGCTTAAGAACGACACTCGTTCCGATGCCGCCAAGATCAAGACGTACGTCAAGTGAAAGGGGATCCAAATTGATCAATTTTATGTCGTAATTCGCTTTTGAAACTCTTGCAGAAACATGGACAAGCAGCGAAACAATCTCATCGAGGCATTGAGCAAGAAGGGCATAGCCATTGCCAAGTTGGCTGTCCTGGATGATAGTCTTAAGGATCGCCTGGCCGAGATAAACCAAGTGTACACGGACATCATCAAGTTTGTGGACGCCAACGACTTGAAGGCCATACATTTTGCATTGTGGCATGCCTACGCCCATGCCCACTACGGACGCATGTACAAGTACATTGTGAAGCTGATTGAAGATAAGCGCACACGGGAGCAGTACGATGAGCTGGCCGCCATCAACAGTGCCTTGGGGCACGAGCACATTACGGCAGTTATTAAACGCATGACGGTCACCTCTTTCCCAACCACATACCGTTTGTTCTAAAACACTGCTCAAATAGTAGGAATTGTAATAGTATGTTCACAAACGCGATAATGCGGCTACAATTTTGTTTTATATCTTAATTATTAAATTAATCAATCTGAAATGTCTTTGAATAAACCATAATTGTAACGGAACGTTTTGAATGTTTGTGTTGCGGTCTCACAACCGTGCGCCCAAGAGCTTACCAACACTGGTACATCCAAGCATTCGGCATTTGGTACGCTTTCGGTTATGGTCATACTAATTGCAGCAAAAAAACAAAAAACAATGCAGACGCGCACGCGAGATTAAAATGGGTAAGTTTGACAGAAAAAATGCAAATCAATTGTAAAAAGTGATCTTATTGTCAACCCCAAAGTGATTTGTAATGGGTGTTTTCAAAAATATCAATCAAAATGTAGCTAAAACATAATTTTCCGTGCTACGCAGTTGTTGGCCCTGCTGCCGTTGTGCATTTGTGTTAGTGTGTGCTGTGTGTATGTATGTATTGGTCGATCGATTTTATTTTGCATATTCAAGGACAAGCGTAATCCTGCGGGAAAGGCCTCCATCCTGAATGGGGCGGCTCCAGATAATGTGCAACATCGAAAGGGAAATCACAATTTCAACGTTGAATGAATGTCGTCGCAACGCCTCACATCCGCCGATGACTCAAATCGCAAAATCCCGGTCCACCGATGAGGGGGTTTGACTTGACGGCTATTATCAGCCTCACACAGAACAACACAGCACAGAGGAGCATTCTGCTGCTGCTGCTGTGTACATACATTTGTTGCTTGCGCTGCTTCCCTTGTATGCAGCGGTGTGTTAGTGAGTGGGAGAGTGTGCCTGGAGAGGGCTGTGGTGGGGGTGTGTGTGTCTCTTGCAGCAAACAAAAGGTGACAGCGGCAAGGCGATGCGTGGCGGATGACAAATGCGGGTGCAGCAGGCAGCAAGGCAATCAGAATTCTGTGTCAATGTGCTCACGCATGGGAGTGTGCATCTGTGTGTGAGTGTGTACGTGCGCGGAGGATGGAGGGAGTGGGAAAAGAGCTCCAAGCTAAATGAGATTTTTACATTTTGGAGAAGGAGGGGAAAATCACTGGGGAAATGCGTTGGCGTTGCTGTGCTGGTCGTCCCAGACCAGGGCCGGATTTACATGGGATCAGTGGATGGATGGATGGCACCACCATCGTTAAATTAAAGTGCTTATTTATTGCTATTCATCCTCTCTCCATCGTTGGTTCCGTTCCTCTGCGGACCAATAAAAACATCAAAGATAAGGCCCTGATCTCAGGGGCATTCCGCTGCGCTCCTGCGTGCGGGCTAGTGCCAGATTATGGACTTGAGAATTTAATGTGTTTATTTTTAAACTATATTTTTCCGTTTCCAGAGTATCCACAAATTGATTTATACGAATTCCTCACAGAGTCCGAACTGCAACAGTACTACAATGCCGTCAAGTGAGTGACTGACCCAGAAATTGGATGCGAATCCCCCTAAAACTCATCCTCCTCCTCCTCTGCCCATTTCAACCCTTCTCTCCCCAACAGAAATGAATTGAAAATAACGAACGCGGCTCAATTTAAATATGCAGCGGATGAGGATTTACGTTTCATTGGCCTCTCGAGGCCGGAAATCCGTAGACTGCGTAAATACTACGAGAAGCACTTCCCCCACAGTTATCTCAGCAAGATCAAGCGTCTGCTGCAGGCCCCCACCACGATGGTGAGGCGGGAGGATAGCGCCGGGGCGGCTCAAGTGTCCCCCGATGGCAGTCCAGCCACGTCGCTGGCAGCCAAGAACGGTTCGACATCGCCCAGCAAGGTACCCAACAACAAGCACATCATACCGGCCGACTCGATCAGCGTCAACAAGCAGCTGGGCACCGGCGAGTTTGGCATTGTGCAGCAGGGCGTCTGGACAAATGGCAGCGAGAGGGTGAGTAGTAGCGGAGGGGAACCCCTGTAAGCAATTTCCATTAATTGATTCCCCATCCGCAGATACAAGTGGCCATCAAGTGCCTGTGTCGCGAGCGAATGCAGTCGAACCCCATGGAGTTCCTGAAGGAGGCGGCCATCATGCATTCCATCGAGCATGAGAACATTGTGAGGCTGTACGGTGTGGTTCTCGCCACAGATTCGCTCATGCTGGTCACTGAGCTGGCGCACCTGCGCTCCCTGCTCGAGTGCCTCAAGGACTCGGGACTGCGCGTCAGCTTCCTCACGATCCCGACACTCTGCGAGTTCGCGCTGCAGATATGCAATGGGATGCGTTACCTCGAACAGAAGCGCCTCATCCACAGGGACCTCGCGGCCAGGAACATTCTGGTGTTCAGCAAGGACAAGGTCAAGATATCCGACTTCGGACTGTCGCGTGCTTTGGGCGTTGGCAAGGACTACTACAAGACCAACTTCAATGTGAACCTAAAGCTGCCGATTGCCTGGTGTGCCCCCGAGTGCATCAATTACTTGCGCTTCACCAACGCCTCCGATGTGTGGGCCTACGGCGTGTGTCTGTGGGAGATGTTCTCGTACGGGTTCCAGCCCTGGGCAGCCCTTACCGGCCTCCAGATCCTGGAGGCCATCGATGCCCCGAACTTTCAGCGCCTGGAGCAGCCCGACTGCTGCCCCAGCGAGTACTACACTTTGATGATGAAGTGCTGGCAGGACGACGCGGCCAAGCGACCAAAGTTCGGCGAGATCTACGACCAGCTGCCGGACATGAAGCCCGAGCAGCTCAAGGCGGTGGTCAACTGCACTGAGCCGAAGAAGGATCACCTGATGTACCGGCAGGGCGACATCATCAGCGTGCTGGACCGCAATACGGGCTCACCGTTCTGGAAGGGAGTACTCACCACCGGCAAGACCGGCTACTTCAATCCCTCGAACACGGTGGCCTTCCTTGAGGGTCTGCCCTCCAGCTCGAATCGCGACTCATTTAGCCGCGCGAGCGACCATCGCATCAGCAAGCGCAAGCTGCGCACGGAGATGATTTCCAAGCCGCAGAACGATTTCAAGCACACCGGACATGTGGGCATCGATGGAGCCACCTTCGGCGACATTGCCTTCCTGGGAAGCTCTCAAAATGTAAGCAGAAACAGTCCTTTATCCCAACTACAACTGATCTCTCCTATTTTTCTGCGTTTCGCAGTACAATCACGTGCCCAAGCAGATAGTCACACCGTACAAGCCATCGGAGGATATTGAGCAGACGCCACTTCTGCTGCCACCGACACCGACGAGCCCCGACTCGCTGCAGACGGCTAGCGGATACTTTCCCGAGGGGGCTGGCACCAACAGCCTGAATCCCACATTCATTCCCTCCGCCGAGCACACGCCGAAGCTGATCGCCACCAACGGGCAGAGCTCGTTTGATTTTGCATCCAGCGGCGGCTCCACCAATCCCTTTTTCCTCAACAAACTGGACGACGAGCAGCTGGAGTTTGCCCTCCAACAGCAGCAGAACAACAACATGCACACGAGGGGCGGCTCCCGCAGTGTCCTGCAGGATGATCCGCATGAGTATCACGAGATATCCGACGATGAGATGGCTGCCGATAAGCTGGACTTTGGGCCCTCGCTGCTGGACGAGATCAACTCGATGTTTGGATCGATTAGTGGCGCGTCTGGGGGCCAGCCCAAGTCGCCAGGATTCGAGCAGGTGAACAGCAAGAACGAGTTTGCTGAGCTGTCGGTGAAGCTGGGCCAGAAGCCGGGCGACTCAAATGGCAACAAGCATGGCCACGGCCACGGCCTGCTGTCCAAGAAGAAGTCCTCGGGAACGGTGAAGCCCATCTCCGTCAAGGACGAGAAGATGCTCAACCATGCCATCGAAATAGCCAACGAGATAAGCGCCAGGTGAGCTGATACACCGAGCATCAGCCCAAGAGTGGACCCGTATTTATGTATTTCTGTTGCAGATCGATGATTGATTTGGTCTCGGACCAGACACCCGCTACCCACAGCCCCAAGCGAAAGTTTAGCTTCCGATTTCCTCACCTGAGCAACAGCAGCAGCGGCGGTGGCGACAAGGCGCACAGCTTTGGTGGCGCTGGCGGTGGCTCTGCCAGCGGATCTGGGCATACGCCGACGCATGCGGGCAGTGCTTCGCCCTTCTCCAAGAAAAAGAACTTCACCGAGGAGCTGCAGAGCATTCCGGACATACAGGTGAGGCGCAGCTTGGGTCCCACGAGTTTGCTGGCAGTCGATATCCTGGTCTGGAGATTCTAATCCACGAGTTTCGTCCACATTTTGCTCTTTCTCTTTGCTATCCTGCTCCCCCACCTGCTCACGATCGTTGTCCCCCTGTTCATTTCCCTGTTTTTCGTTTGGCATTTTCTTTTGGTTGTTTCGTTTTGCTCCTCCATCGCCCCATCGACCCATCGATCCATCGCGCAGCGCTTCCGCTCGCTGAGCGAGATCAAGAACGGCACCGATCTGCGCGTGCCCATTTTTGACAAGGAGAGCTCCGACTTTCTGTTCCAAAAGTCGCGGGAGATACTGAGTCGTCCGCTAAACCTGGACAGCTCCCTGGAGGGAGCCGCTGAGGAGCGGCAGGAGCCGAAGAGCATCAGCGACAACATCATGGACATTGAGAACACGCTGAAGGCCCTCAATCTGGACTTTATGCACACCTACACGGAGCTGGACAAGAGCGACTCAAACGACACGATCCTCAACGATCAGCAGCTGCCGCAGCTGATCAGCCTCGACGATGGCATCAGCAGTGCCAACGGCAGCCTCAAGTCGGCTGTCTACAGCTACAGCAACGGCGTCCAGACCATGTTCGACTTCAATGCGGCCACCAGCCACCTGGACAAGCATCTCCAGTACATGCACAACCAGGCACAGATGAGTGCCGCTGCTGCGTCGAGCGGGCAAGAGCCCAAGCTGATGGAGGACAAGCGATCGAGCACCCCGGACACGGGCTTCGCCTCGCGGGACACCAACATCTCGCTGTCGCGCCGCAGCAGCCAGAAGTCGAGCTACAGTCCACAGGAGAGCTACTTTCCCATCAAGACCGAGGTTCTGTTCAGCGCCCCTCCCGTGATCATGACCAGCAGCGGCTATCCCAGCCTCAAGGACGAGCTGGGGGGCTACGAGCGATTCGGCAATGGTCCCACCAAACAAATGCTGGCCTCCGCATCGCCAATCAAGTCGGGCACGGCCTCCGGGCTGGGCAGCAGCAGCTCCGTCTACATGGCCTCCAAGAACTACCGCCAGCGGTCGACCTCCTTCAACGAGAGCTTCCACCCCATCTCCCCTGTGCTTTCCGAGCCGCCCCAGCGGGTCGTCATGCAGCGTCAGGTCAGCAGGCAGGAACAGCAGCAGCAGCTGCAACCCTCTGCTCCCCTGCCGCGTCGCACGGCCTCGTACAAGCCGCGCTCCATTCGGGCTCGGACGATGAGGCGTCTCAGCTACAACCCCATGACCCTGTACTCCAGCTCCTCCAGCGGCGAGGAGGAGGAGGACCCCAAGCCCAGTCTGGCCCGCTCCGAGTGCGACATACGAGCCAGAGTGGTGGGCGGTTCGAATACTTCGATGAGCAGACGCCGCCGCGCGGCTCTTATCCGCCAGGTGCAGTCTGCCTGTCACGACGAGCGGGACGCCATCATATCGCCGCGTCAGATCTACGGCTCCAACTCCAGCATCAAGTCCGCGCCCCACTATAACTTTGGAGGACAGCGGGTCAGCTTCCACAGGGGCGGATCCGCCCATGGTCATGTCAGCGGCGGCGGCGGGTACGAGCAGTTCCAGTACGAAGAGCGGATCTACGACTTTGGTGGACGTGGTCCGGGCAATAATTACTGCAGCGGACTGCCTGGCTACCTGATGGCCTACCAGAAGCCGATGTGTGCGCCCAACGGAACGGATTTGGGACCAGGACCAGGATCAGGGTCGGGTTCTTCATCGGCAGCCTCGTCAGCAGTGCATGCCACCTACAGACCCACGAGCACCGGCACTAGTGGCGGAGTCGCCCTGCAGCGACCCATGAGTGGTGGAGCGGCCCTTCATGAGTTCGACATTAGCAGGCTCACGGGCAAGAGTCCAACATCAACGAATTTCGTGGGAAGCTCACCGGAGGAGCTAAAGCATCGACAGCTATCGACGGGCTCTCTGCTGACGCCTGGGACCGGGACCGTGACCGGGAAGCCGAATACGAAGCACCAGCGGCCAACGGAATTCCACTGGCCAGAGAAGATACACGCCTCGGCGGTGAAGCAGCACGAGATGCACTGGAGGCAGGTGCAGCAGCAGCCGCAGAAGCAGCAGCAGCAACAGCTGCTTGCGACGATGCCGCTTATAAACTCTGTGGGAGCAGGCGGTAGGGCAGCGGGATCCAGCGATAGCTCCTCTTCCTCGAGCACAGAGAGCGGCGATGAGTTTCAGTTTCGTCGGGAGTCGGAGCTGAATGCACCAAGGATTCCGCCCAGCCCGGCCCCATAACTAAGGAAAATGCTGAAATATGTTCTCAATTTACTATTTGGCAATGTTCTGTCCGATTAGAGTTCAGTTCTATAGGATCGATCGATGGCATGGCAAGACAGGGAAAATGGATGGATCTCAGGATCCATGGAGAGATAAGCGGTGAAGTGTATTGTGTATGTGTCAGTGTGTGTGTGATGTGTGATGTGTGTGCGTGTGAGTGTGAGTAAGGATAGAAAGGTTGGGGGCGGTCGGTCGGTCGGTCGGTTGGTTCGTGAAGCGGTCCGGAGGGAGCGGCAAGTAAATTGAAGAAATATTTACAGCAGCGATAAATGCGTATATTTTTTGGAATTTGAATTTTTTGATTCGATATGAATGAGAGTAGAGAGTGTGCCTTACAGGAAAACACCGCAAGACCTCTCAGAACAGATAATAATGTGCAGAGCAGCAGAACTAGCAGCAAACACAAATAGCTTTCAATTCATTCCAATACACTCCATTATCCACTGTCCAGTGCACCATCATAATTCAGCGGTGGGCATGTCCTTGCTCTCAACTGCTCCTCCCAAAGCGGGCACAAAAAGAACATTTACGTTGTGTGCACGATTAGGCAGGCAAAGGCTTGTTTTCTTGTCCACCGCTGTCACAAATCATCAGATCAACAGATTGCTTCCATTGATACACCGATTCACACTTAACACAACATTTCGAAGAAACAGGAAATAGAGATTAAACTAAACCATAAACCAAATATTTCTAAACAAAGATACAAACGAAAAGGCTTGACTTCCAAATCGAATACGAATACGGAAACGGAAAAGGATATTTTATTGTCTTTTGAGAAACCCCAATAAGAGCTTTTGGTTGTCGAAGGAAACAGTATTACAAGGCAAGGCAAGGAAAGGCACACAATGAAAAATATACTCACAGAGGTGGAGGGACAACTCCTACTAGACATCAGGGTACTTCCAATTACCAATTATCTACGAATGGGTTCTTCTTTTTAGAGATAACTATAGGTCAAACACACACACACACATTAGAGATCTGCGTGACTTTAACCGAAACTGAAATGATAGCAAAGGATACTCCAATTTCTCGAATTTTTGCTTTTGTTCTGTTGCTTATATTTCAATGTGGTTCACTGCTTTCGTTTCACATTCATGCAGGCCTCTAACACACGATAAACACAACACAGTCACAAGTACATACACTTTGACAATCGTCAGAAAGAAACAAAACAAAACTACAACCAACAACCAATAATAATTGTCCATACCAAGAGGTACTACTACTCCCGAGAGCCATATTATGTGCCATATCCTGATGCTTGCATTTTTATGAAACCAGAGGAGGAGACAAGTGAAGAGCCCCCCCCCAAAAAAAACTAACACAAAAAAGAAGCATTTAAAGCTGACTTTAAACTACAAACTAAACCAAATGCGAAACCCCTAGAATATCGTACGAGAGAGGTTGATGTATTTGCAACTAAAATTACTACACAAAAACCAAAAAACAAAACAAAACACAAAGAAAATCTCTCAAAAAAATTAACTTCAAATGCATGGGAATGGATATATGTAAATGTCCAAAGATTTTTGATAACCTCACTAAAGAACCTACTCGTATATTATATGGATTCTACTTATTACATACAAGATTTTCGCATTCTATGCATTTATGGATTAACTCAAATCGATAATATTATACGAGATATACATATACATATACAGATTATATATACACCTACTTAAATCAACCTAAACTATATATGTATACACTTATATACATACTATAAATGATACATAAATGATATTCTAAACTATGCGTTTAAAGCGTTTCAACCCAAACAAAACAAAACTAAAGAAAAACCAAAATATACTCGAGTATTATAATATTATACAAGGACCTCCCCAAGGAATCCCAAATCCTATCCCCAAAACGAAACGAAATCGAAAGCAAATGAGTTTGGGTTTGTTTGGATTCCAAGAACCAAACAAGTTAATTGGTAATCAAAAAGAAAAGAAAAATGTTGTGCATATTTAAAGGGATTCAATAAACGAAAACTAAATGTGAAATTTAATGCGGGTGGATCGCTCTTCCGTGGGTCGATTCGAACAGCCACTGCCAGACCACAGCCATTGCCCGTCTCCACTGCACTTCTTAGGCTTTAACTATCCTTTTCCTTGAATCCCCTTCCTCTTATAATTTAAATTATTATTTTGTATAATTTTCATTCAATTCAATTCTCATTCCCCGCGCGCACACTCACAGGCGCTCATTGGCAAGGAGGGACTTGAGGCCTACAACAGCCTAATCGAGCGGAAGGGGATGCTGGACATCGGGCCCAGTCCGGCTGCTACCCTGCTGCGGCACATGGACACCGACGAGTTCGATCTGCAGAGTTTGCACCAGGCCGCGCGACCCATGACCCTGCCAACGCGTGGAGCCGCCCAGCGAGTGCGCAAAATGGAACTGGCCACCGCCACGCTGGGCAGGCACAACGATGAGAACTCCAACTCGCTGGAGGCCTGCGAGAGTCCCAGCTACATGAGTCACAGCACCTACAAGTTCCCAGAAACAGCAGCGGAAACAACGGAGGCAGCCAATCAGAATCCCATTCCCCTGCCGCCGCGCGAGGGCAAGAAGCAGGTGAAGACCAGCACCAAGAGGCACGTTCGAAAGTATCCGCTGATCATTCCGGCCAACGGCCTGCAGCGGACCCTCAGCAAGCTGGCTGACTTTGGGGAGTCCGGCGAAGAGGCGGGAGGCAGGAGTGCCCAAGCTTCTGGCAAGCACCAGAACTCGCAGCCCGCAAGGTCCATCGAGGTGGTGGCCGCCGTCAGGCCCTGCAGCTTGAGGCGCCAGGCGCGCCCCTCTGATAGGGAATACGAGAACATGCCGGCCGTGGGTAGCGAATCGGCTCATACCTACCAGAATCTGGATAAGCTGCTGCCGGCCGATGCAGCTGGTCTGACCGACACGGCATCGCTGCAGTTCGAATCCATTCTGGAGGCTGACTCCGGCAAGGAGAGCGCCCTGCAGTCGCCCGATGTCACCGATGGCTTCTACAACTTTTCCATTCAAAAGGAGAAATACAACAAGGGCAAGGATGCGGAGTTCGAGGCCACTCAGATCTCCAGTCGCTCAGGCCTCTATGTGAACGACGATGAGCTGCGAAATCTGGACACTGAGGGTGGCCGTAAGGCGACCAGCTCCACGACGCTTGAGTCGGAGGAGGGCCAGCAGGAGGCGGCAGCTGCAGATGTCGCCCAGGAGACATGTCGTCACGCTTCCAGTGCGGACAACGAGCTGGCGGGGAATGCTCTGTTCAAAAAGGTAAGAGCCTCCGTCAATCTGGCCATGAGTCGCAGCTCCATTAGCGAGGCTGGTACTTCTGTCAGTCAATGTGGAAGCGGCGGTACGGGCAAACCTCAAACAGAGGCCGAGTACTTTGCTGCCACGGCCGCACGGCTGGCCGACTCGAACTCAGTCAGCTGCGAGGATCTGCTGGAGTTCTCCGACAAGAAGCCGAAAGGATGCGAGCGGGGCGTGGACTCTGACGAAGTGCGGATAATGGTGAAAGTGCTGGGCAAGGATGTGAGTATTATATCATTTTGATATTTAAAAGCAATTTACATTTAAATCTCGATTATCTGTTACAGAGCACGCCCAACCGTTGCCTGGGCGCCCTGGAGTTCATCAACTGGGACGTTCACAAGTCGATCAAGCTGATTAAACTGCAGAATCTGGTCAGCGAGGCCAATCTCAGCCTGGAGGCCTCCTTTGAGGCACTGCAGCAGTACGAATGGGATCTGCACACGACGGCCCACAAACTGAATGGCCCTAAACTATAGACACTTTTCCCATCCTTATCTGTCTTTTCCTGTTTTAAACGATCGCCGTGGGCTTAACCTCGTAATCAACACGTATTCTAAGCATTTGTAGCGTTAAGAACTCGATCCTAACTCAACCATTGCTCGCAATTGATACATACAACGTTTCCTTCAATATTTAACTGCTCCGAAAGGTGTCGATCGAATCTCAGCATGTACTTATATATTCATGCGCCGCCTGCATGACCAGCATCAACATACATTTACGCATATACACACACCTCTTTATGGATAATTTCAATAAATTATAAACTTTTGTATAAACCCCAGTGTCTGAGGAAACAGTTGGAAGTAAAAGAGAGAGAAAACTTTATTGATACATTTAGCAATCGTTACAGTGAACGCTCTTTCGAGGCTGCATACCAAGCTGCCAAGCTGGAAGTTTTCCCTTGAATACTCGCTTGGACAATTCTAATCTTAAACTGGGTTAAATTACTCAACGATGCGTTAATATTCCTACCTATTTTACACATATACACAATACCAATGCACATAAAACTCGCATCCATTCCGGATACGGGACGTAAAGCTCAGAATGCAAATGATGATTCTTGGATTAGCTATTTGCGCCTGCGGCTGCTGCGAGTGCCGCCGCCATCAGTGGCAGGCAGCACAGCGCTTCGCGTAATGCGCTTGGGCGTGGACATACTCAACTGCCCACCGCTCAGATTCATTTCGAGGGACATCCTCTTGCGTGTCATGCACATGCTGTTGATCCTCTCCTTTTGTGCCGCATGGCGTGTTGTCATCTTTGGGGTACTTGTGGTGGTGGTGCGGCTCAAATAACTTCTTGTCGATGTTTGCCTTGAGGTCGATGGCTCCGACTCGGAAACGGACTCTGCCTCTGACTGTGATTCTGGAGCGGTTGTGGTAATCACTGGAACTCGATTCTCTTTCACCGAGGACGTGCTGTCTGTGGGGCTGCTTGTGTTGTGCGTCACCAATTCTCCCCTCGGTGTCTTTCCATCTACGCGGGGCTGTTTTCGAGAGGGCGACTCCAACGAATTGCTGGAACGCTGGCCGGACCTCCTTTTATCTGAGGGCGTCCGTCTTATGACTCGCTTGCGTCCATTACGCATAGGCGTCTCAAGAATCGGGAACTTGCGAACCTTGAGAACAAAACGAAATTAAAATAAAGAACAAAAAAATGTAGCAAACTTAGGCGAAATTAAAAAGCCAATCGGAACCCATATGGGACTTCTATGCTTTTAAGGCTAGTTATCAGACAACTGCAAAGGTTCTACCAGCGAATTATATAGGTTGGGTCTTTAGTCTACAGATAGGAGACTAGGCTCTATATTAATACATTAACAGCGTACGGCACTTCAAGGAAACAACATTTTTTGGGTTTCAGTTTTATAAACATTGTTGATTGTTGATTGTCGTTTGATGATAGTTAATGAAGATTGAATTGCAAGTGTTGGCTTAAGCTAAACAATATTTTACTCGCGCAGAGACACTACACGACTCACTGATTGTCTTTTTTCATTGAGATATTCTGAACTTTTGTGGTGCGTATCTCCTGCTTCAGTGCCTAGAGCTGCATGCGCAGGCGCGAGGTACTCACTTTGCTAGCTGTGGGAGCAGTGAAGGATGTTGATACGGCAGAGGATCTGGTGCGCAATGAGCGTAGGCGCAGGTGGCTGGCATTGGGCGCCGCTGAGTCTTTGGGTGATTCGGAGGTGGGCGAGGCTTCAACTACCTCTGATGTGTCCGACTATAAAAAGAGAAAGCTAATTATCTACTATTCCCAGAGGCAGCTGGCACTCACATACCTTATCTGCCCGCGCGGGACTTTGCTGAGATTCATTTTGCTCTGATCCGTCTGAATCATCGGACTCCTGCTGCTCTTGCGGCTGCTTCTCCGGTGTCTTGGAGGACCTAGCCAATGCCTGCTGTAGACGTCGCTTCATCTGAGGCCTACGTAGATTTATTCTGGATGTTTCGGACGCCTCCGTTTCCACTGTTTCCTCCGTTGTGGCATTCTCACTTGAGCAAGTGGAGTTATATAGAGAGCGTCGCAGGAAACGTTGTCCCACCCGATTCTCAGTGCCGTAAGTGGTCAAGACAGGATCTGCAACTGGCGCAGCTTCAATTTGTGTTACAGCCGATGCTTCTGCCTGTGTATCCGACGCATTTGTCAGGGTCTGTTCGTTGGAACATTCTTCAGGGATTGGGGCTGCCACCTGCTCTGCCTGCCCAACATTCTCAGATGCCTTTGTAGTTACAGTCTCAGTGTCGCACTCCTCGTCGCTGTCCACCTCATCGCGTGCCCCACGTGCGGGTGGATTTAAGCTGCCTTCAACCATCAGCTTGAAGTTATTAATATTAGTGACCACACGCGGCTCCAACTCGCTCTGAAAAAACAAACATAACGATTCATTATAGACTTCTTCGCAAAAGATATTCCTGAAGTGTGTTCCCACCGTGATCAATTTGTCCGCCATCTCCAACATTTCAGTCTTTATTTCCCGTCCGTTAGACACGTTTACCGTGAGGTTGGTGAGCTCTTTGGCCAGCAGGCGACAAATTTCCCTGCGCTCGGTGAAGTAGTTTTGAATGTAGTGCAGGAAGCTTAGGGCTATCCGGTTGTGAATGTTGGTCACCGGGGAGCTGACTTCCTGCGTCGTCAGATCGATAAAGAACCTGACCACGTGATCGGGCTGGACACCGTTCAGTGGCGAGTCGAAGCTGCAGTTAACGACGGTCCACAATGTGGGCAGAAGGCAGGGCTGCAGAAGGGCCTGCTTCTTGAGCCGGACAAGATTCTCAAAGAACATGCCCAAGACCTGGTTGATGATGGGCTCTGTGTTCGGATTGAAGTATCGTTTCAGTAGCTGCTCCAGCACCTCGGGACGATCGTCGAGGTGGCCGCGCAGCACCAGGCGACAAACGCCTCGCATTATCGCCATGCCCACGCCCTTGTCGGTTACCCGCTCCACATAGTGGCCCATCACGACAATGATGTCGCTGCTCTGCTCACTGCTCTGCGTCTGACTGCCATCATCCTCGCCGTCGTATATATCCTGAACGTTATAGAGCTGGCGACGCTTTGTCTTGGACGCCAGCCCTTCTCCGCCTGTCGTCTGGTTGAAATCGTTGAAATAATCGATGCCATAGTGATCAAGCATCTCGAGAACGCATCTGGCAGAGGTTTCGCACAGACGGACAACCGTGTTGTTGCAGAACTGGTCGAGAACCACCTCGAACACCTCCTTGGCGTATGCCTCATAGAACATACTGTAGGTGGTGCTACACTTGATGGCCCATTCGAAGATGTCCACCTCCGAGGAGGGCAGATGGCGGCAGACGAAGTCCTTGTACAGCTTACAGATGCTGGGCGTGAGCTTGTGGACATGTGGAGAGGCCACCATATAGTATGAGATGTGCAGGCCCTTGAGGACTCGCTCCTGTTTGGAGAGCTTCGGGCGGGCGGGCATCTCCAGAACGCCATGCTTCACCAGCAGCGGCTTAATCAGCTCCGTGTACTCCTCTGTGACGGCCATCTTCTCCTCATTCACGGACTGCGCCCGTATATACTCCTTTTGGCGCACAAAGTTATCCTCCTGCTCCTCCAGCTCGAGGATCTTCACCTTCAGCGATGAGATCTTCATCTTCGAGGGCGTGTCCAAGTCGTCCAGCAACTTATTGATCAGACTGCGATCGTGCACTAGCTCATTCTGTTTTGTATTCAGGTCGCACGTTGCGTATATGATTTCAATGAAGAACTGCATCCGATCGTTCAGGTCGGTAATCAGTTTCTCCATGCAACGCACCAGCACGCGGACGATCTTGTGGTCAAGCAGACAGTCTTTCAATAGGCTGCTGATCAACGTCTTCATGTTACCGCGCCCTATCTCATCGCCCAGGTCGTACGAGTCTAGGATTTCCACCAGCGAGAGCAGCATGCTCTGGAACTCTATCTGGGCAAACTTGTCCATGTTCGGCTTCTGGAACTGACAGAACCTGCAACGAATAGCAATTACTTTCCGTTTGGATTGTTTGATTGAGTTAAAACTCACTTTTCCACGTAGCTGCAAAAGACACTCAGCTCGGGCAGCACTTGGTCGCTCTCGTCCGCCTGTGTGCTCTCCAGATACTCGCCGAGGCACTGCCAATAGAGCAGCAGCTCCACGTTTAAATTTTCCAGAGGCACACATCGATGAAGCTCACAATCGTCGCCAAGCGGCAGTTGTTCCATCAGTTGCTGATTGTCTGCCTGCTCAAAGATCACACGCAACATTTGCTTGGTAACGCTGCGGAATCGCATCAGCTCCTCCTCGCTGGAGTCCAGCTTGAGGGCCGCTATCAGAGTCAAATAGTTCTGCTGATAGGAGTCGATCCAGGCTTTAAGCATGATGTTCACCACCGTCTTTTTAACGTTGGCCGAGCTATCGTTCAGGCCTTGCTCCAGCAGGGTCAGGCGCTGCGACACCTTGTAGGAGCGCACTGGATAGTTGCACATGTTGACATACGTATGGCGGCGCACCTTCTCGTCCACGTCCCACAGACGCTGGAGTATGTAGGGCACCGTGATGTAGTTGCGGCCCATGCAGGTGATTATGCACTGCCGGACAGTGGGCGAGGGATCCGAAGACAAATGGAACTGGTAGGCGCAGACAACTGGATCGCGAGGATTGTCCGGAATCTGGAGACGCTGCATGGCCAGTACAGCCTGCTTGCGTACACCGGGCGACACATCCTTCACGCGATCCAGCATGGCCTCGAGAATCTCGTCGCACTGCGTGTCGTCGAGTGCCGCATTGGGTCCCAGTTTCTCAAGTATCAGATTCACAAAGTAGCAAATCCGATAGCGAACGTAAGGGCTGCTCGAATATATCTGGGGAAAAACAAATAAATGTGAACACATCCAGGGAAGGTGTACAGTAAAGGCTTACTGTCAATAACCAGTGAAATGTTTCGGCCAGCATCGGATGCGTCTTCTCCGACTCGAAGCCTGCCACGAATTTAGCGCAAAAGGAAAGGGCCATTTTTCCATTTTCATTCGCCTCTTCCGCCTCCAGTACAGTCTTCAACACATTGATGAATATGTCCAGAAACGCTTGGTGTCCCATCTGCAAGACAATTCATAGTTGTATTGGGTCAGTTCTAATCGACTGAGCCAGCGCGGCCAAGTGACGCTATTGCTACCTTCGTGTACAGTTGCTGCAGCTCCTTTTCGTAGCGCTGGTGGAGCGCCTCCTTGAGTTCGGCGTGACGCATTATTGTGTACATGGACTCTGCGCCACCTCTGAATTGTTCCCGAATGCGATCGGGGCTCGCTTCACTGATTGCCATCTCGTTTTCCTTTTCCGCCGAAGCCGCATTGTTGTTCTTGGTCGTGACCGCCTTCGTTTTGGAGGCGGCTGCTGTTTTCGTTTTGGGCTTTGCCTTGGCTTTCGCCTTTGGTCTTGTCATCTTGTTATGTTTTGACTTATTCACTATTACTTAAGCGCAGGTACAATGTTTGTAACACTTTTCACTTATTTATCCTATACAATGCCTCAAATTGTTGTGCAGGGACCCCCCATTCGCTTGTTAATTTACAAAATGCAAGAGACGCGTAAAACAATTTTACTAAATTAATGATGCTAGGGATGGTATACATACATCGAATCGTCAAAAAATGACTATCGTATCGATATTCCGCTTGCCCCCTATTCCCCTCTAAGATGAAGTAACTTTATAGGGTGGTCTCGTCGGGCCTGTTTGTCACGTATATATACTGCTTGTGAGTGTGACTGAAACGAGACTATCGTGTGATGATTATGATTATTATCGTGATATGATGGCATGGGGTTTAAAGTTGCAGATAACAAGAAAACGAGTTTAAGGTATTCTTTTTATATTTGATTTTCCAATAAGCTACTATTTGAAAGTGTTTTTTAGTCACATTTTTTGCATAGGCTCCTAATCTAAACCAAATTAAATTTTATTGCTAACATAGTAAAATCATTTTCAGCGCATATGCTGCACATATGCGCACCAAAAAGTTAGTGACCGAACACACCCGAAAGCCACCCGACGTGCCACCCCTTATATATTTAATTCATGGCCACTAGTACAGTATTTACTGATGCAGGGGATGGTACACATATATCGATACATCTTTATATTGGTATCGATGCTTTTGTTTTGTTTACAAATGACCAATTAATTCTGTTACAAATTTAAATTTGTTGATTTTCGTATGCTGCAGATTTACAATCTACACTTTTGATTAAATCGCTAAATAAGCAGCATGTATGCGAGCCTCCCATCGCACGAAATAAAGTAATCTGTGAGAAATCTTTAGTATATAAATAAAATCCGTTGCGATACGGCAACAAAATATTCAACAAAAAATGTCAAAAGCAACGAAGCGAGTTTACGAGCCCCGCTCCAACTACCCGGACCGCACAAAGTCCGAGGAGAAGTCTTTCTCCGAGCTGAATGTGCGCATCAAGAGCTTGGACACGCTGCTGCTGCTGCTAAGCTCCAAAGAGGAATGCGTCCTTTTAAGCGTCTTCAGTCACATAATGGAGTTTACGCGGCGACAGGATGAGAATGTGCTGGAGCTGAAAGAACATCACATGCTGGAGCTGTTGCTGGAAAAGAAGATCTTCATCGAGGCGGAGAATGTTATGATCCGCCGCTTTGCCTTGTATCTCATCACCGCGCTGCTGGACAACACAGACATGAACACGCTCGAGCCGGAAAAGACGGAGGGCATCCTGGAGGTGGCCTACAGATTCTACCTGAATGAGTCTGATGAATTCTGCATCGAGTATCTGTCGCACTTAATGAACATGTGTCTGCGCGACCCCAAAGTGGCTCAGGGCATTGTGGAGAACGGGGAGCTTCTGCACAAGTTCAAGGCAGTTATTGCCACCTCAGAGAATCCCGACACCATATTCAACTCCATCGAGGCCGTGCACAAGATTCTGCTCATCCAGGGTGCCGAGGAGATGCTGGAGTTCACCATGCTGCCTGACTTCCCCATCGATCGCATTGTCTGCGAGGTGACAAACAGTTTCCAGGAGATTCGCCTGGCGGCCCTTAAGGTCTTGAAGACCCTCCTGGTGGACACAAGTGAGCAGAGCGTGTTCGAGCCGCTGCATCGCTGCTTCTATGTGCTGGAGCAGCTGGTCAAAGCATTCTGCGAAAATCCCCAGGGACCGGATGCCGTCGAGATCATTGGTGTGCTCGCCACGGCTCTGCGATCCGAGAAGATGACCAAACTGTTCTTTGAGCACAATCTTTTCGACCTTATCGTCGAGCACTTAAAGGACCAAATTGATATCCTGTCGCTGGAGCTGCGCTGCACCATCATATCCATATTCGCGGAAACGGCCAAGTACGCGCAGTATTTGGCTCGGATGCACATTGCCGAGATCACGGACATGCTACTCAGCTGCCTCATGGAGAACGACCCGGCACCGGCCACCTTCGTGATCCTTGGCCTCAACCGCATGGCCGATCATCCGGACGCACTGCGTCGAATTGTGGCCGAGTATGATGTGGGTGCTCTGCGGAAGCTGGTGTCCATTTTTCACTCCCCGGAGGTGATCATCAAGACCAGGGAGCAGGCGGCGGAGTTTATCAATCGACTGCTGATCGGAGCCTACCGCGACACGGCCGGTCTGCTGATGGATCTGGACATTCCAAGCGTCCTCACGGGCACCATTCAGCAGGGCCTGCCCACTCTCTCCATTGACCTGATTCTCTCGCTGCTGGTAATTATCGAGAGTCTGGGTCAGAACGAGGAGTACCGAACAGTCCTGGGCCAGCATCGTCCGCTCACCGAGCAGATTGCACAACTCCTAATGGTAAGGCAGTCCCATGATGTGGCTTCCGCTTTCACCCACTCCCCCACAGCGTTCGTACGCCCATTCCATACTCGTGAACAACATATTCCGCTGCCTGTGCACCATCGTCGATGAGCAGGCTGTGCGGGAGGTGCTGCTCGAGAACTACATTGTGTCCTCCATCAAGCGGGCCCTGAAATCGCTCTCCAATCTAATCAAGACGGCGGTGACCAACTTCATACTGCAGACAACGCGCTTCAGTGAGTTCATCGACGCCTACATAGATCGCGGCATTCTGGAAGTGTAAGCAAGACGCCGAAAAACTGTCTTATTCCCCTGCCTTAACCCGATTCCCAATCTTAGCCTGATGATGTTCCAGAAGCACGCCTTCTGCGTGTCCACCTGGGGTCCGGCCATCGAGAGCATCCTCTCCAAGTGCCCCACAATGAAGTTCTGCATTAGAAATTGCCTGACCTTCACCGACATCACCGCCGGCAAGGACTTGTATGTGTCCCGGAAGAAGTTCAACGACTTTCGTACCTTCCAGGACATTCTGCGCAGTGACTGTTCCCCTCTGGAGGCAGTGCTGGTGGTCAACTTTGACCGCCTAGAGGCGGATGAGGGGGACCTAATGAAAGTTCCGTCCTTCTGCATACCGATATCCGATGGCTCTGGCGATCATACCTGGTGCTACTGCAAGCGTCCTGCGGATCCCAATCTGCCCAAATATCTGCTGACCCTCAATCAATCCCTGACGGTGGGTCCATCTCCTCAATAAACCTCAATAAACTTTTAACCACTTGACCATCCTTCACAGAAGCACGGCCTGGTGGAGAATCCGGCAAAGGTGCGCAGCGCCATTGATTTTGACAACGTGGCCAAGCGGTGCAAGACCATTGCCCAGGTGGTCGACAATGCGATGAATGAGAACCTCAAGATCCTCGACCTCAATTCGACGGAGGAGTGCTCACGTCACGTGGTGCGTTGCCACCTGCAGGAACTCCGTCATGTCTACCACACCAACTTTATACCCCTGGGCATGGTGCGAAGTGGCTGCCAGTTTGAGCGCTCGATCCTCTTCAAGGCGCTGGCCGATCAGATCGGTCTGCCCTGCACTCTGGAGCGCAGCGTCGACGGCCGGATGCTTTACAATGAGGTGCCGATGCCGCTGGAGATCGCCAAGGATGTTCACTGTGACAAGAAGACTCTCCAGTTCATGTCCTGGCGCATGCTACGCCCCACCCACGTCGTCGATCTGATGTACAATGTGGGCGACTTGTATCCCATGCAGAGTCGTCAGGCCCTGCAGTATCTGCGTCTCTATTGATCACTGAGCTCTTCGTTAATTCTTTTGGCAGTTTTCATTTATAAATTTCCCTGTTATCGTTTATCGAATGTTTATTTAAGAGCCAAATAATCGATTGCTCTTGGGTTGGTATCTCGGCTAGTCCTGTGCCCACAGCGCATGTCCTTGTGGAGTGCGTCTCCGCCTGACATTCGTCCTGGCGACAACTGGACCAGCTGAACGTTTGCCACACAATAAACAAGCGAGCAGCAACTTGGCGACTCGAGCGTAGATTAGAAAGCGCAGCTGGTGGCCTGCATCATGTGCCGAGTGCTCCTCACGCTCGCCTACTTCCTCCTGACCATCTCGTCAATTGTGTTCACGGCCTGCGTCAACAATGGTGAGTGTGTGGAGTCCGTGCTGTGACCTTGCTTGCCAGCAGCCGCAGAGGCGAAAAATCAATAATCTGTCAAATCTCTGCATGCCCGGACAGTTACGGGCACCAGTTCGCCCGGCTCTGGGCCCAGCACCTCCCTGACCGGACACATCCACCGCACTGCAGCGGCCATCGAGCGGGTGAACAAACTCTGGTGCTACGCATGCCACACGATGGACGACGGCGAGTCCTGCGTGGACGTGGCGGTGCGCAATGATTCGTCGCTGTTTAAGAAGTGCCAAGGCGAGGAGTTCATTTGCATGGTGAGTGATAAGCCCACAAGAGAGAGAGCGCCAACAAGCAACTAGCTCCACGCTTCTGTTCTGTTCTGACCCAGGTCAAGCGGTTCTCGTACACCACCAGCACGGAGAACTCCACGAGCTCCCCGAAGATGTGGTCCCTGGATCGTCGATGTGTCGCCAACTGCGAGCCCGGCTGCATCATCATTGGGGAGCGAACCAAGCTCTATGCCTGCACCTCCTGCTGCGAGGAGTCCTTCTGCAATACGGGCCGCGGTGCCGCCTCGGGCATCTTCCATCGCGAGGACACGGGCATTGGCACGCGAATGTTCTGGCTTGCCGCTCCATTCCTGGTGAACATATCGCTGGTCCTCTACAAGCGGCACTCTGGCCATGTCCTCATCAAGCTGCACTAATCCTCGGGGACAAACTCAATGAATTTACTCAACGAACCAGCCCAATGTTGCTCAAATCTACAACTTACTATCTGTAATTAGCTAGCCAAGTAGATTTCGGATCCTATGTTTTATGTATGAATGTAGATATTCGTCCGCCCCCTCCCATATTCTCTCCGTGTGATAATAAATAATTATTTCGTCACTGGTGTGCGCCTCACATACACTGATCAAGATCAAACCTTAGATACGAGTATTGTGATTTCTCTGAGCAGCTTTGAGGGATCATTGGGACACATCAACTGGAAGAATGTTTACAAAAAGAATAAGAATAAAGTTACTAAATATATTTAGATATGTATAAGAAGGATGCGCTAAGTTGTCCCAGGAGCAGTAAGCAGTTATCCCAAACAAATGGGAATACTTTCTTGTAGATATTTGTAGATAATAGCAAGGAGAGTTAACCTGATTCAGCCGAATTAACCTGTTTCAGCCTATTTACCGACCTAAAATGCGCATTGCAAATATATAATTAAAATCAAATTATTTTGCATTAATCCCCTGTTTTGTGAGTGCAATAATCGTAACTAATGGCAACCAAAATCTCTACTTGAAAGAGGGTGAAGGCAAGTCTTTTGTTTTAGCTTAGCCATTGTTGGAATTGTTAATGGAATAATTTTCGTTTTCATTTTGTTCATTAAGGCTGCACTGGCCTCTGACTTTCAAGTAAGTATTATCCCAGATTCAGGATAACAACTCCTAGGGCCTGGCCATGCATTAAACCATTCATTTGGTCTCGTGAATTGCATTACGTTTCCGTTTCCACACACAGCTTCCTCTGTCTGCATCCGCATTAGCCTCGTGTCCGGCTCTGCGGGGGCGGAAGGACCGCACTCCTGCGTGGGGCTCTTCTGAGCAGACATGAATTATTTATTGGACAAGCATTCGGAGCATCGGAAGAGTACTCATAAGCAGAGAAAGATGGTGAGGCCGAAGCAGCCTTATACCTAATCAGGCTGGAGCAGCCTCCACGTCTAATAGAGCTGCCATTAAAAACAGATATGTGCTCACATGGGGCACGAAAATACATATAGGATGTGTGTGCGTGCTTTTGTTTCACTCTTCTTTTTCGGACCATCCATGCACTGCCACGCCCACTAATTTGGGAGCCCACACACACAGAGTTGGCTCTCGTTAACGCCCATGAATTGCATAGAATGTGCTGGCCTGGCCTCCAGCCCCTGGAGGCACATTTAGACGGGCAAAAATGTTGCCGAGAAGCTTGGCCCGGCTCCTAGATGAACTCCTCGCCATGGCTCCTACATCTTTGGCTAATAAACCCAAGACAAATCTCTTCATTTAGAGCTTAATTTTCTTGGCAAATTTACATAAATGTCCGAGGGGAGAATGGGACCGAGAATGGCCCAGGCCGTGGCCTAGAAGTCTCCGATAGAGTTGGTTCACATTCACCCGGCCCGACCAGCATGCACATCCATCATGGCTCCGACTGGATGGTTGGTTGGTTGGCAGGGCCTCTGGGAGAGGTTGGGGGGTGTCTGTGGGGTGAGTAACCTTGCGCTTTGTTGCTTTATGTTGCCTTCGTGGGTTTGGCGTTTATTTTTGCGGCTTCCATGTCGTAAATCTTCATCAGACGGCAAATTACGTGGTTTTTCCAATGTCCTGCACCTCCGACATCCTTCGTATTCGGTGGCACTTTTCGAAATGTGGCGGAACGTATCCGTCAAAACAATAAAGTGACCGCAACGGCAGGGGAGCCACCTACAGCTCCACAAAGGTGGGAGGGGGCTTCGGGGTTCGGTGTTCTACGACACAATAAACGGTGACAAAAAGTCAAACAGGATGCCATGCCCATAAAAAGTACCGTAACAAAAGGGCACAGCGAGAGCGGCATCCACGCGATGGACAACAGAAAAGAGGCGACTGTCTCCCGCCAACCATTGACAACAGTTTTCATTTATGGAAAATAACGGCAACGGCAATATGCAAAATTTATTATTATATTTGCGTTGAGCCGCAAAAATGCGACGGATTTCAGTCCACGACCAGCCAAAAGCGGAAGGGAATGAGAAAATCTTTAAATTACAGTTACATAGTGTACCTTTGAATACTCTTTATTTGCCAGCAACTGTAGTGAACTTATAATAGGTCCATCTCTAATTTGTCGCTCTCTGAGAGATTGACTCTCTCAGCTTCGCTTCACTGAGAGTCTCGCTCTCATATTGTAATATGTTTTACAGTTATAGTTACGTTATGCACCACGATACCTGCTACCTGCGCATGTAGCTTTTGGGAGAACACTTGAAAGCCAACGGTAAACTTTTGTTCTCTGCTTTCACACTTTGAACATAGGGACAGAGGCAAATCAGACTTAAATGGCTGGCTGATACCAAAGTTGATCAAAATCGTTGACAGATCTGGCAGACTCTTCTTCTACCAATACTTTGGGAGCAGATTCCCCATTGCTTTTATTGCGATGTCCGCTTTATTCATTCATTATTATGTATTGCCACTTTGGCATTGTCCTTGTTTGCCTTGTGATTGCACCCGGCACTGTTTTATTTCCTCTTTTTTTTGGCATCATTCTGGGTTCTCGTTAGTGTTGCTGTTGCTGCTGCTGCACGAGTGTCGCGCCAAGTTCACACAGAAATTTCAATTAAAATGCAACAATGGCGCACTCCATCATCCAAGCGGCAAACTGACATACCCACGGCATACCGCATACCACTCCCCTCACCTCCCCACTCCACGTATTTGGCAGACAAAAAGTCGACTCGAGTCTCAGCGTCTCGCCAGCAAATGACTCTTTGCTGGGACGGGATGCAGTTGGCAATGTTCGGCGGGAATACTTATAATGGTAATGCTTTAGTGAAAATAAACTGCTTAAAATTTTGCTTAAAAGTCTGTCTTTTGGCATGTGTGGATAAACGCTGCATAAATTGCAGAATTCATTCAATATTTGGCTAAAATGTTCAGGAATTTTCGCTCCCACAAGCGACAGCAGCGAACGCTCATAAAATCCTTTGAAAGTTTGCCAAAAACATAATTAACGGAATAACTCTTCTTTGTTGTTGGCCAATCTTTGGATATTCGCTGTCCGCCTCGCATGCACGAGCATGTGTTCGCGGGGTGATAAATCCTTGTCGCTGAATAAACAGGATGCACATGCAAAACAGACCGCAAGAGGGGCCAGGGGTTGGGGCAGCACAGGACCAGAGCCAGAGATGCTCGATGTTCCTACTCTCCATTCGGAGGAGGTGTCCCAAAATGCTAGTGGCCTTGTAGACAGTTGTTGCCGGGGCAACCAGGCTACTCTGCTCCCTCCTCTGGCTACTATGGCTCCGCCCCACTGGCTGCTCCTGGGACGATGGCAGCGCCTGTGTAATTAAAACTTTGAGCAACAGCCACGGAAACTACAATTGACTGACTGCCTGACATCCTGGGGGCCTTGCAGCGTGGGTGCTTTGGCTTTGGCATTGGCTTGTGGCACGGGGTCTGGGTTGCGACCTAAGCTGTCAGTTTGGCGCCACTTTGGGTGCGAAGAGTTTTCCTTCGTTTTTTTAATAAACTTTCACCAAGCTGGCACCCGGCTCATCCCTTATTGGATTTGCAGCCAGCTCTCTGAGTGAATGATGTTGAAGGAAGCCGAAGAGAAAGGAAATGAAAGTCGATGGTAGCACGGGAAAAGCTCTCCATTAAACGCGTTCTCTGCTTTTCCGATTTGTGTAAACGATTTTGATAGATTTGATGGGATTACGGTTTCAGTCCGGTCCCTACTGGTGCTGCAGCTTGGTCACAGCTTCCCACCAACTTACTCGCTGTCTGTCGGGCTAAGTCGTTCTCCTTGACAGCTTTTGGCTTTAATTCTTGCCATTTCAGCACGACACGGAAATGCACTAAACGCAAATTAGATACTGAACTTTCCCGCTCGTGTTGGGAAATTGATTTTCTCGTGTCCTTCTCTTTTTACCCACTCGTAATTTGTGAACACACAGCAACAGCAACAGCAGAAGCCGGACGGGGTACAGACACACACAATGTTTCCCTGCTGCTCACGTTTAATGCTCGTACATGAATTTGCATATTAATCTTGGGTAGCGTTCTACTTTATCCTTTCTCCAGCAGTGGGACTCCTTCCAGCGTCCCTTTTGCAGACAGAGCTGCCCGAACCCGACCTTCCCGAAATTACATGGAACTACACATTTTGGTTTGTCACCTCGGCATTACGGCACGTAAAATGTAATCAGCTGTGTGGCTGTCTGTGTGTGCAAAAGCTTTCGGCCGTATGCAAATGGGGGATATGGGGAGCCTGGCAGGCAGCTGCTCTCAAGGCGACTTAACGCCTGCTTAATGAACATAAATTAGTCAGGTGTCACAGCAGGGGGCTGGGGCTCCATGGGGAGACCAGGAAAGGTGTAGCCGCGTCACAGCATGCGTTTATATTTCAATTTTAGAGCTCGTAACTTCCGCATTGTACACGAGAAACGGTCGTAACCTCCCGCGAGACTTGTAGTTTAGCATTTAGAGTTAAGTCCTTTAATCAAGGACACTGAAGGATATGCAATTTGCCAGTGATTGACTGAAATAGTTGTGTCGCTGATGAGGACAATCGATTTCATGTCCATTTATACTCTTTTTGAATGGAGAATCTGAAGCACCACTGGGGGGACACAGTTCTAATTGACATTCCGCTGGAAGTGCTGCTCAAACACTCGTGTCGCTGTCGCATGGATTGGATGTCCAGTGGAGAGCAGAGCCCACTGAGTGCCATGTGACCCAGTTATCGAGTCCAGTTTTATGTGCAGCAGCTCTTGCCTTCAATTACTGTTTGCTAATCATGGCCATGCCATCGTACAATTGCGCCATTACGGTTGACAGGCCGCTTAAGTGCAGCAGGCAGCGTCAGGCCACCATCCACCCATCATTCCCCCCGGGCAGAGAGCGATTAATACCAGCTGTTAAGCTCGCAGCCACACTTGACCGCAAATTAAACCAGTGGGCTCCGGTATGATGGTATGGCTCCTCCTATTCCGCACATCCGTTTTTGGCCTGGTCAAATGGTTAAGTGCGAAAACCGCGGCATCCCGATGGGGCAGAACAATGGCCCGATGTCTGATTATCCCGCACAGAGCCGCGAACAACAACAAAGACAGCATCCGCTCTACTAGTGCTCGTCCAGCGGGGCATCCGATTGTCTCTCCTGCGGCTGACAGGAAGCAATCAATAGTGTAATGCCAGACAGGGGCATCCGCCGCAGTTTGCCTGCCACACAGAGGTGCGTTGGAAATCCACGAAAAGGAAACAAGAAACAAAAAAAAAAGGATACGACTGACACTCGGGGTAATTTGTCACCTTCTAGCATCTTTTTTTCGCTTCTCCCTGGGTTAAGCCATTGCACCTTGGCCACGACACCCATTAACTGTCTGTCCTGTGCCCCATACCACTCCATCACCCCCTCCATGTCCATAAAGCTTTTGTGGCAAATGTAAATAATGCGTTTTAATCAAAAAGAACAGCAGTGGAAAATCCATTAACGGCGTACGTGCCGCCAGATTCTACTGTGGATACGGTGCGGGACGGGACTCACCCTGCTTCTAGATAGCTCCACTATGGACCCCCTTCTATACTGGTGCCCCATGCGGCTCGCGTCATTTGCAGGTTGATTTACAAATTTCTTTAATGGGGCGACGACAACCTTTTTAATTAGCACCTGCTCTGGGTGTACCTTCTCCCCGCATCATCCTTGACTGCCTCTTGCTGCCATTTGCTGATCCAGTAATCTCCATAAAACACCGCGACATGCTTCGAGTTCCATGGAAATTAATTTCCAACTTTTCTTCCTCACCTTTCCTCTCCAGCACTCTTTGCCACTGCCTCTTTGTGCTTCTCTGTTCGTTCTCTGCTCCTCACGCACTTGGAAAACTTTTGCTTTAATGATGCCATTCAAATGCGGCGCATGGCGTCCTTGTCGCTGACTCCTCCTTAACCCATTTCTGCCCCGGGAGACACTTGCTTCCGCCACCAGTTGTACGCTCTGATTCCCATTCTCAAGGAACCAGCACCCCCGAAGAGGCAACTTCTTGGGCCGCTGCTTCTCCTTCGATTCAATATCCTAATGCCAGTGTCTCTTTCCTGGAATTTATTCAGCTTGCAGCGCTGTTTGTTTGCTTCCTCTGCATATGGTGTCTGCCCCACCAGCAGTCCCTCCGTTGGTTGTTGGTGGGGCTGCAATAATATTCTCCGAGTGTTTCTAAACAAGCACAAAGCCATGTTTCAACAGCTGTAGCCGGCAGTCAGTAGTCAGTAGTAGTCTGGTTCTGGTTTCGCTGCCGTTTTTATTGTTATGTTCCACTACTTCCACCACACCCCGCTCCGACCCTTTTGCTAAACTTTGCTGCACATTAAAGCAATTTGGGCAACATTTATAGACTGATTTAATAGAAGAGGCAAAGGGAGTGGCTCGCCAGAGGGATGCTGTGAAGCTGGGGGAAAGGGCTTCCACATAGAAATGAGATATTTCCACACAAGTGAGCAGAAAAGCAACTGCGAGTGTGCGTGTGTTTGTGCGTATCTGTGTGCACTTGGATATAATTGTTTGACTAAATGAGTGAGCCGCAGCCTGCCACCCCTTGCTCACCCTCCATGTTTTAGCCCTCAAATTGTGCTACACTTCGCTTAACACTCACACATATGCATGTACATGGGGAGTGCAGAGTGGAGGCCACTGTATGGGGAACAGAACATAACAACAATAATTGTGGCAAGCACCATCAGACCAAACCAGACCAGACCCCAGCCTCAGCCCCATTTCCATGCCACAACCCAATCGCTAACTCCCATCCATGTTTGGGGCTCCGTGATGTGCGGGGATGGGGGCAGGAGAATTCATTTAATTCCCTGTCGTCTGCTTCGATGCGTCTCTCCGTCTCTCCACTGTGAGTGGATGGGGCCAAATGGATATGACTCTTGGCATTGTGTGCTGCCAGATAGCCATGTTAGAGAGTTGATGCGGCACGCCCCAGCCCCATGCCCCACGCGAAGCTGTTCCCATAATGAGGATGAAATTGAAGTCTCCACAAACAGATATCGTCGAGCAAACAGAAGCAGCAGGAGGCTACGGGCAAAGATCAGGCCAAAGGAAAGTAAAGTCCCAAGCAGAGGACACACATAAAGCTCGTAAAAGCGAGTCCCCCCGCGCAGCTCCATGGAAATTGAATATTTAATTATGCGTCGATGGAAATGGCGTCGGAACTTGGTGACGAAAATGGGCCCAGACTCATCATGGGATAGGATGATGATGATAGAGAAGGAGGAGCAGCTCTGGAGCGAGTCGAATTTGTAAGAGTCAGAGCTGGAAATGTTTACAAGGACAACAATTGCGAGGCTGCTAAATAATTTATTCTAATTTGCAAAAGATTTCTGCAGCAAACCAAAAGAAATGCTCCCCGGAGTAGGGTAGAACATTAGACATCGTTCCACAATCATTCGAGGGAGCTGTGTGCCGGGATACTTGGCAGTTAATTTTGAGGCAAAACTAAGGGATTTATTGGTTAGATAAGTTCCCTGTTTGGGTTAGTTTGGGTTCAGTTGATAATTTGCACTCTGCGGTGAAGAGCGAACAAAAGCAAAGATACAGAGAAGCGGCAGACTGTCTGCGTCTGAGTCTGAGTCTGAGTCTGCCTCCATGGAGCACCTTTTGCTTATCTAAACATTTATCCCCTCACCCGCCACATCTGCTGAGGCAGCCACACTCTCCACTCAGCCACACGGGAGTACTCCCATCACATCCTTCACCTCTGCAGGCAGTGGGTTTGTGTGTCGTGTCCTCACCCACGTCCCACATGAGGTGAGCACGGCTACGTGAGTGCCGCACAAAACTTGCCCCAGCCAAGGATACTCAGTCTCTCCAGCAGACAGCAGTCAGCAGTCCTTGAGGGGGAAGGGGGCAGAAAGGTAGCAGGGAAAGCCGCATATTTATGAATGGCTCTTGGCTCTTGTTTCGAGTTAACGCACTGCGGGAGCTTTATCAGCTCGTAAATATAAATTAGAATTTAATTTTTATCATCGAGGAAAGGTGGCTGAAGCGGAGGATGGGTGCGTGGCCTGGGGAGCAATCGTGTGGTGCTTGGGACAAATTAGAGTGCTGGAGTGGAGCTCCCATGGCAACCCCGAATCGAGACTTCAACGGGATTCATTTCCATCTCCATTTGGCTGCCACGTGCCGCAATATTTCAAAGGCTTTGATTTACCCCAAGGGCAGCCACCCAATCCCAGTTCTAGTTCCAGCCTGAATCTGAATCTGAATCCCATTTCCAATCCAAATAAACCCCCCCTTGGGGCAGCTCTAATGGGGAGATAGTTCTCAATCTGCATGGCACTCACCTGGGTCAGCTGCGAGGAGGCGTAGTAGGATATCCTCGAGGGACAGATCGACTCTGGCTTCGAGTAGATTGTTTCTCCGGTCTGCGTCTGGTCCCCCATCGGGAGCAGGGCGGTGGCGTAGGGCGTCGGAACGGGGGAGCTGCGGAAACCTGTAGAGTGGATTTGGATTTGGATTTGGATTTGTATTTGGAGTGCGTTTCGGCAGTGGTCAGTGAGGAGGAGGGAGGAGGACTCACGGTCGAATATGCTGCACGACTTCTTCGTCTCCCCGGGGTATTTGTTGAGGCTGGCGATGGTCGCGTAGGAGCCAGTGGCACTCGGTGGCCGTCCGAGCGGGTCGAGGCGGATGAACACGTTCTGGTGGCTGCCATAGGCCGCGGTGGTGAAGCTTGTACTGCGGCAAAGGAAGAGGTGTAAGAAGGTGTAAATGGCATTGGAGGAGGAGGATGGATGGATGGATGGATGGATAGCTTACTGCAGCGAGTCCTGGCGAAGCTGCTTGCGAGCCCGCAAATACATCATGCTGGCCACGAGGCCCACGGCCAGGACCAGGCCGAGAGCACAGGCTGCGGCACTCAGCAGGGCAGGGCCCTGGGAGGGTGCGTGGGCGGGGGCTGGCGATTGGTTCGGTTCGGGGGAGATGCCTGTTGATTGGACCAGATGGATGGTGATGGATGAGAGGAGTGTTCAGTGTTCCATTCGAGTGGTGGAATGGCGATGGACACCTACCCTTGGCACAGATCTTGTTGCGCTTGAAGTGGAGCCTGGTGTCGTTGAAGCGCGGGGGTCCTCGCACCACCATGTTGACGTTGACGGGCAGCTGGAGGCTGGCGTTGCCCGTGCATGGCAGGTACACCAGGAAGGACTCGATCTCCTGCGGCACCAGGCCCTTGTGGGGGATGCTGAGTGTTGGGGTGCCCAGGGCGTCCTGGTCATTCGCGTACTCGATGCTGATGGCGTAGGGCAGCTGTGGGAAGGGACTGGTTAGTGTCCATGTCTAGGGGTTGGCCATGTCAGTTCAGGTGTCTTACCGGATAGGCGATGAGGCTCTGCCAGGAGAACTCCAGCTCGTGCACGTCCGCGGGCACCGGGACGGTGAAGTGCATTGCGTATGTGTTAATGGATCCCTCGTGCACGTAGAACAGATCCGCCTCGAGTCCTGCGAAGGATAAGAGAAGAAGCGAGAGACCAAATCAGAAGCAGAACCAAGGAGCGGATGCGGATGCGGATGCAGTGCAGACCTAAAGGGAAAGTTTCCTCGCAATTTGCTGTGGCCCACCCCCTCCATTAGTGTGGAAACTCTGGGAAACTCCAGGACTCCCCCTGCTGAGCAAACTTTGTGCATTTGCTGTTTACTCTCCCCTCAAGTCCCTTTGCCGACGCCCTTGAGCGGAAATTGATTTTCACTTCGCCACAAAGGAAACAGTCGAAGGGTGGAGGGCGGAGGCAAGGAAAAGGTGACAACACTGGCGGGTAAACAAAACCCAAGACACAATAATAATCGAAATCGAATCCGTCACCAGCAGCAGCAACAGCAGGAAAGTCGCGACAATGCGGGTCTGGGATCTGGGACTCCACCAAATCAGAGACAGAATGGCGAAAGGGAAGGGTAGGGTTGGATGTATTAAAAGGTGTCAACTGCTGGAATCATCTTTCGTTTGGATTCCCGAAGAGTTCTGGGGCCCAGTCTAATCCTCTCTCCCTCCACCCTCCTCCTCCTTTCCACACGATGCCAATGAAAGACGAGCTGCTTGAGTTAAAACGACGTGAAATTAAATTTCTTCATCCGCTTTCAATGTTGCTGCTCCTCCCCTCAGTCTGTGTGGTGCAATATTTACTTCAGGGGATCAGAATAAGCTTCGTCCTCTCCCGCTTAGCATGGAGCCAGTGGAGCGGGGAATGCTGTTTGGTCTCTTCAACTTTCCGCAACTTCTGCTCCGCTCCTGACTGTGCCTCCGCTTCAGACTTTACCGGATGTTGAATGTTGCGATTCCGCTTCCGGCAGACTGGAAGAGTGGATGGGTGGCAGAGGCAGTGGCTGAAGGAGTGTACCTTGCATTTGGAATAGAACAAAGCGAAGCGCTCATCGTGCTGCTTAAAACAATTTTAAATCCAATTACAGAATAAGAGAAGCGCTTTTCGTTCGCTTTCATCCTCCATCCTGTTTCTTTCCATGTTTCCTCCACTCTAAACATCTTCATCTTCCGACTGATCCAGCTCCATTCCCTGTTTCTATTTCCATTTCAGTTTTGATTCGTTTTAGAGTCCCAAATTGCTTTGCCCCCCACAGCGTACGCTGCTCTAACTCTGCCACAGACTCTCCCTGTCGCAGAGTGGGACAAGTTGCGAGTACTTTAGCCACCTGGCAGCTGGGAGCACTTTTCTCTCACTCACAGCGAAAGGTTCCTCACCGAACATAGCCCAAAAGTGACTCGATTCCCCCTTAAATATGCACAAACAGACGAAAAGGACAGTCATTTCTCCTGTCAAAGGGCAAACCTGACAAACTGCTATGCATGGAGAGGGTGGATGGGAAATGCACTTGCGACTGCCTCAATTAATTCAGTTCCCTCATCTCGATTGGCCTCTTTGGGGGGGGCAACAATCGTCAAACTCAAACTGCGCTTTAAGTATCCAGAATTGGCATTCCCCGACCCTCCCACTGTCGCTGCCCAAGTTCAACCTGCCGCTGGAGTATCCTCGTTCTCTTCCAAGTATCTACCCCTCGCTCTTCTCTCCCTCTGTTGCCGTGTCAAACTTTGCTCGTCTTTCATATCACGCGCTCCTTGCCTTCCTGCCGAACTTTTCCTGCAAAAGTTTTCCTCGCTTATGATTCTCCTTTCCCCCTTTGCCGTAATTATAATACCTGCGATTGCGATTGTCTGAATGACTCTGCCGCACACACGTGACGCTGCAACCACAACTGGCAGCGATGCAGAAGGTGGAAGGAAGGGAAGAGACTGGAAACTGGAGAGGATTGGCTGGAGCCTGTGGCTGGATGGTGGAAGGCAGTCCCGTGATAGTTTCCAGCTCTGACACAGAGACACAATTTGCATAAAAGATTAGGAGGATAATTAGTGTCATTAGTGCGGAGACAGCACTCCCCTTACCCCTTAACCCCTCACCCTCTCTCCCACTCAATGCACGGGAAGTGCAGTGGCACTCCTTGTCGGCTGATTAAAGGGGAATCGGAATGCCAGACATTTCCTTGTAATTGTCCCACGAATCAGAGGCGAGAATCGCCAAATTGGAACAGATTTCTATGCCACCCTCGGAGGCAAGGCAATCATGATGGATTCCAAGTGTCGAGCCACCCCAAGGGATGGGTAGGTGGGGAACACATTAATTTTGAGATTTTCGGACTGTTTTCTATTCATTAAAAATAATTTTGTTTTGCATTAACTTTTCATTTTTCAGGGGAATATTTCCTCCGTTTTTTCCTCTCCGAAGGTTGACGGTCTGCTAAAAGGGGGTGCACTGGTGGGCAGAGGGAAAGAGGGAAATAGGAAAAGAGGGAAAGAGGAAAATAGGAAAAGGAAAAGTGTGCACATCAAAGCGAAACTTGTTGAAATTGCATTTTTACGCACCCTTGAACCGGGAAAGTCTTCAAGGAGATGGAGTTGGAGAAGGGGATGCGGGTTGTTGGATGCAGGGGGGAGTGAGGAGGGGAGAGGGTGTCAGTTTCGCTGGTAACGAATGCGGAAAACGAGGAGAAATTGCTTTCGTTTCTGGGGCAACTGGAGAACTGAACAACAGAAACCAAATTGAACTCAGAGCAGGAAATTCTTCAACAAAAGCGTAAAAAATATTTAATTTTAATGTTGTCGGCCCTTCATTGAAAGAGAGAAGGGGGAAGTGGAAGGGGAGAGGGCTGACTGGTGGCAATCGTCGAACTTTGTTTACAGTTCCACGAAACTCACAGACACCGAAGAAAGGAAGGAGAAGCCCAAAGGATGCAACATATTGCTGGGGTGGAGATTCCCATTCCACATGCTGGAACATGGAGGCTCTGCCATCAACTGGAGTCTTTCTTCCACCTGAAGAGTCGTCCACATTGAGTTGGAGCTAAAGGAAGAAGAGTGACTGTGGGTTGGAGGTGTTGGCAGGGGGAGTTTTCGGTCAGTTTTCCTTGATTTCGTGCTGACACTTAATTTTCCAATGGGAACAACAACAACCCCGAATCCACAGAGCAGGCAGAAGGTGCTGGTGTGGGCAGGGAGATGGGTGAGGGGTGAGGGGTGAGGGGTGTTAACTGCCAGTTAAAATCATAACGAGCTACATTGGACAGAGGGGTTGGGGCAGTTGGGGGGTGGAACGACGCGAAAGCAGAGAAAATCTCGATGAAATCGAAGCAAAGGAAATTGCAATGAGCAACAAACAAAGTGGAAAATCTTTTGAGTTGTCGCTAATGAAATGCGATTTGAATGAGCCGGTCAGTGGGAGAGCGGTGGGGTGAGTTGAGAAATGGAGAAAGAGAGAGGCAAAATAAGAGGAGTGAGGTGGAGTCGCTTTGGCAATCGACAGGAAGGTGCCTGCATTCAAGCCCCATCGACCTCGAATGCAATCGAAAGCGTACAAAGGCAGAGTGAAGTGGAGGGGAGGAGAGTGAATGCATTTCAATAAGGGAGCAAGCGACTGAGGTGAGGAGTAAGCAGGCGCAGGAGTCGCTCATTCCATCCATCCATCAATCTATGTTGTTTCCGTTTCCATTGCCATTTCCACTTGATGTTGATTTGGATTATTTTTGGGCCATCAACTAATTGAAGTGCCTCTGATTTGGGAGCTAGGAAACGGTGGGCAGAGGGTAATATACAGGGGGGTTGTGGCAGAGGCATAGGCACTGCCGAGGCCTGCATAATGAGATGGAGGCTTTTATGCTCCAATTACAGTTAAGTGCCGGAAAATGCTGTGACCAACTAAGCGATGAATGATGGAGTGGCGGGGGCTAGCCAGCAACTAGGACACCTCTCCACTCCAGTCCCCCATCCCTCCTTTACTCACAATTTCCATTCGGATTCCTGTTATCCATTAATCAACGCGAGGAGCAGGAAATCGCGAGCCAAACGACAGGCACGAGGCCATGCCGCTGTGGCATATTGAATGAATCCTGCCTTGTCTTTCACAGGGAAAAAGACTGCAGAGGGGAGAGGCAGAGGAGCTGTCTTGGCCTTGGCTCGATCTGGAGCCGGCGCCATCAATAACAGGAATTCGCGTGAAGCAACAAACGGAGAAACAAGAAAACAAACAACCGAAAAGCAAAACAACACGGAAAGTGGATAGAGAGAGAGAGAGCGAAAGAGGAGTAGGGTGGGGTGGATAAGCAGGGGGTGTACGAGGCAGCAAAAGCTACTTGCTGCTGTCAGCAAGGAGGGGGGAGAACGGAACGGAAATCGATTTGTGTGCGATTTGTTCTGTTTTGCTCCCACCTCCGGCAACTCCTCGCTCCATTGCCTCACACTGCTCCACCTACTCCCACACCCCACTCCCTGGTCAAGTATAATTTCAGAACTATTAATGACTACGATACGGTACTGGGACTTGGGGGATTGTTTGGGGTTTGTTTTGTGTGTTGCCGTGTTGTGTTCGGTGATCAATGAATGTGTCCTGTCGCACTTTGTCCCCCAACTATTAATCATCGCTCGGGTGTCTCCAAATCCAAATGTGGTTTCATTAGGAAGTGAATTTATCCATCAGTTGATAGCCACTGACCAAAGGCGCCCGCCAAGTGGCCAACGAGAGGCAGAGGAGCAGCAGCGGCAGCGGCAGCGGCCATAACGAGATGCGGAGGATGCACCGGGACAGGATGGCCTAGTGTGAGCAGAGAGCAGCTAATAAATTTTTGGACCATGTGCTCGTCACTTCAACAGCTCCACTTGCTCCCTGGGGAACATTCTTTGCCAGCCAATCCCAGCGTGTGTGTGTGGCAGCGGGTGGAGCAGTCACTTCCGTCACGGGGGAAGCTTCCTGTTGTTGCTGGTTTGAATCCAGTTGCCTCTGTTGCGGCTGCTGGTTGCCACAAACAGACGACGCGCAAAGAGCAGACTCCGGCTCTGAAAGAAGCGTTAAAATCAAATTTTAACTCCTGCCAAAAGTTACGGATGCAAAATTGGATGGGATGCCAGACGAAAATTGTAACTTTTCTGCCGCTCCTCCC